CACCGGGTTGCCCTGGGGCGGGCAGGAAGTGCTGCGGAGTTCACGTCCGGGGTTCACAGGTGGGACGCATCTGACCCTGGCTCCCGGAGCTCTTTGTGGGGAGGGAGGGGTAACCTCCGGCTGCCCCAGGTGGTCACGCCTTCCTCCTTAACCCGGCCACTTCCCCACTCTCCTGGCATTTCCTGGGATCCTCTCCAAAGTAAAGGACTTTGGCTTGGATTCTTGTCTCACGTTCACCCTGAACAAAGGTACTCCTGAATGACTGAACCTCCACCTGGGGCCCCACCCTCGATGATTAGCGCCCCCGGAGACTTCGCTGGCTCCCTTCTCTGGCTAAACCCCCAGGTGGCACCGTGTCCCTCCCACGCCCCTCCCCAGCACTTCCTGTGCACTGTCCGTCACTCCCTGTCCTGGTTGAGACCCTCACCGCTCGTGGGGACCTTGGCACACTGGCTCCCTACCTGGCCTCTCCCCCAGGTGCCCCAGCTGGCTCCCCCTGCGTCGGGGAGAGAGCAGAACCTTGCTGCTCCATCCAGAAGGTGACTCCCCATCCTTGGGAGGCCCCGGGGAGGGCAAGGGGCAGCATTGGCCGTGGGCGGTTGTGGGAGAGGCGCTGAAGATGAACTCGTTGGCCCAGTCATTTAGGAAGTATTTTCTGTGCCAGGTGCCGGGACGCAGGGCGACCTGCAGCTGGTTCACGCTCCGTCTCACACCTGCTCAGCCTCTGGCTTCCTGGCCAGAGCAGCCATGGCAATGGCTAACCCGCCGTTCGACCTGCTATCTACCCCCATGTACCACCGCCTCATCCTCCACGCAGGGTCAGCTGGCAGGGAGAGATTGCCAAGCTGGTTCATGGGTGGTCAGGCCGGGGGGTGGGGGTCTGCTCCCGCCACCCCTCACCACGCCCCCCGCCCTGCCTGAGGGAATGGGGTGACACAGCGCGGAAGTGCAGGGGAGACAATGGCCTGGATGGGGGTGGGGGGTGGGGGTGGGGCTGGACCCCTTTGACCAGTGGCAGACTGGAGAAAATGAAAAGAAGCCAGCAGATAAAGCACTTGTGCCTTGGGTGGAAGTACGGACCTCCTCCCAAAAGATACGTAGAGACCCCAAAGCCCAAGAACCTCCGAACAGGGCCTCATTTGGGAACAGGACTGTTGCAGACTTGACTCGTTACGATGAGTCACGCTGGAGTAGGGTGAGCTCCTAGTGCACGGTGCTGGGCATCCTTGCAGTAGAGAGACACACGGACAGGAAGGATAGCCATGTGGTGACGGAGGCAGGGATGCAGTGACGCATCTGTGCGTGGGGGGAGAGGGCAGCCACCAGAAGCTGGGTGAGGCCAGGAAGGACCCTCCCTTTCAGGTGTCGGAGGGAGCGTGGCCTCGCCGACGCCTTCCTCTCAGACCTCTGGCCTCGGAACCTCGTGAGACAAGACTTTTTTGTTGCCAAGGGCCCCAGGCTGTGGCGCTTCCTCACAGCAGCGGCCCAGGGACCTGATGCGGTACCCTCAGCCTCTGCTCTCCCCACAGGTGGCTCCAGCAAGCCCCCCGGAGATGCTCAGCCTGGCGGACCAGCCGCTAAGGTGGTCTTTCAAAACCGTGGCCAGGTGGTAACACCTCGCCTTGTATTTCCTCTCTCTGTGTCCTGCCCTGGGGTGGGCGGCCTCTGGGGCGGCCCCAGGGAGGCTCCTGTCCTGGTGCCCATGCCCTCTGTGTGGTCGGCTTCATCCCTCTGTCTCTCTTTACCTAAAGAGAGCCAGCGGCATCTCTGTACAGAGGCCCACGTGGCAAGGAACCCGCACCTCCAGCCAATAGGGCGCAAGGACCAGAGAGAGGGCTGCCAGCAGGCACAGCAGCGAGGCTGCAAGCAGATGCTGCAGCCAAGCCTTGAGAGGACCGCAGCCCTGGCCAACATCTGTTACTTTTATTTTTATATTGATGTTAGAGAGCTAGAGAGAGAAAGAAAAGTTGATTCGTTGTTCCACTCATTTATGTATGCATTGGTTGATTTTTTGCATGTGCCCTGACCGGGGATCAAACCTGCAACCTTGGTGCATCAGGACGGCGCTCTAACCAACTGGGCTCCCTGGCCAGGCCTCGGCCAGCCTCTTAGGGCAGCCGGTGAGAACCCGAGCAAGAAGCGCCCAGCTCAGCGGGGCCACGTCCCTGGTCCACAGAGACTATCAGATGGTAGACAGGTGCCGCTTTAAGTTGCTAAGGTTTGGGGTGGTTTGTCACGCAGCAGTAGTTAACTGATACACACCTCCCCTCCTTTGATCTGGAACCCCCATAAAACTTTAGCCAATGAGCGTTTCCTTGGGCTTTGTGTTTGAGGGAACCTGCTCCCTCACCCTCCCATCCCAGGGGCCTCCATGTCATACCAAAGAAACAGAACGGCGTTTTCAAAGTCAAAAGCGAGCATCCCTAAACACGCAGCAGTGTCCGGCCCATTTCTCCCAACTGGGGCTTCTGCTCCAGCCCACGCGGGTCTGACAGGCTCACGCCAGGCATGCGATGATGGGCTTTTCACCCCAGTCATGCACACGCGTGACATCGCTGGGCCTTATGGCTCCCCAGAGCAGCCTGCAGCATGCCCGTGACCCCTCTGGAGGGTCTCAAAGCCAGCCTCGGCCTGAAACTGGGGGTGCCCCAGGTCTGGGTCCTCCCACCATTTACAATGTCCATTCAGTACATGACTAACCCAACTCTTTCCAGTGATAAGGGAATAAAACCTTTTGATTTTTCAGCCAGTCGGGGAAGAGGGGGCGGATCCGGTTATCTGTGCCTTTTGATTTTCCTCTCTCTCACTCGTACAGGCTGAGTCCTAAATATCCCACCAAATACTCCTTCTCCATACGCACGGCCCGAAGCTGAGCAGGAGGCTGGACACGAAGAGAAACTTTACATCAGGCCATTTTTTTGTTTGTTTGTTTCAGGCTCAAGTCAAAGGCTTTCATGGGATTTGGGGTAATACGTGTGTCTGGGAATTGTCTGTTTTCTCCGGGTCCAGTTGGTGCAGGAGGGGGTGTTGCTTCTACACAAAGTCCTCAGGGCAGCTAAACCGAACATTCTTTTTGTCGCCGACCCCTTCTGCAGACAAACAAACCAAGCAAACCCTGGCTAACAAGACACCCCACAGATGCCACCCAGGCCCCAGGCCCCAGGTTCGCTCCGGGAGAAGAAAACTCTCTTCCATAAAAGGAGCTGGGTGGACTCTGAAATTCTCTTTCTGGAACCTTGGGCGGGACTTCTGCTTCTCCTTGGGCCACCTGCAGACTTCAGCCGTGGCTCAGGCCTGGGTGGGCGGCCGCCTGCGTGCTTGCAGGCCACCTGCCTCGACACCCTTCCAGAAGTCTTCGCCAGCATCAAAGGCTCGTCTTAAAGGGCATCTCCAGGAGACGGGCCGCGTGAGGCAGGCAGCTGGGAGCGCCACTTCCTCCCAGCGTGGCTGCTCGCTGAATCCTCCTGGCTAATAATAACCCTGCCAACCGAGCAATTAAGCCCTGAGCGCACGCCAGGGACTTGTCAGGATGCGGTGGCCCTTGGCCGCCGGAGCTCCCACTCAGAGCAGCAGCCGATTCGATTTCAGGCTGAGTTTGCCTGACCTGAATCACTTCCTGAAGAGCCCTCCGTGTCCCTTCCGTCTTAGAATAAAACCACCCTGGATGCCTCTCAGGGGATCTTGTCCCATCCGGCCCTGAAGTCCTGTCCTTAGACTCCGATTAGCCAAGGAGTGAGCGCTGTGGGGGAGGGGCCTGGCCAGCACACACTTATTGGTCGTCAACACGCGTTTCCCGAGCTTCTGTGGAGATGCGGTGGGGTGTGTCAGCAGGTCGTGCAGGTTGGAGGTAGCACTTTTTTTTTGAGACGGTCCACACACCAACTTGTCAAGCACACAAGGCTCCAGCCTCCGGGTGGCGGCGGGAAGGGGGCAGAGGCTGCTCAGAGGCAGACAGGGAGTGGGGGTGTGTTTCACCAGGGCCGGTGCCTACGGGGCTTGTCGGGAACCGTCCCGCTGAGCAGCCGCCTATCGGTGAAGTGGGTTAAGGACGCGGGCGTTGGTGTCAGACCTGGGGTTCCAGTGCTAGTTCTGCGCTCATGACCTTGGGCAAGTGACATTCGTGCTTGGCCTCAGTCCTGTTCCTTTGTGAATGGGAACACTACTCCCCACCTCCTGGGGGGCATGACAAGCTGCAAACTCAAAGAATCTGAGCTTCTGTGAGCGGGGAGATGAGAACAGGCAATCTCTCGGGGCCCGTCTCCCCTGACACCTCGGAGGGGCTGTGGGGGGGTGGGGAAGGGGGAGTGAGCTCTGCGGAGGAACAACGGTGCCCCCCTCCCTCATTTTTCTTGGTGTTCGTGTTTGGGAGTTGAATTCTTGGGGCACTTAGCACACTCGGATCCGGCTGACCTGGTCCTCTGAAAAATAACTCGCGTTTCGCCTGATCACCGAGAGCGGCGGCCAAGTCAGGGCAGCCCCGCTGCAGGGAGAGGTTCTGCCCTCGCGGCGGATGAGTCAGGTGTGAGGCCAGCTCCAGCATCTGGACTAATTTGTCCCCGGCATCCGGCTGCCTGCCATTTCCTCCTCTCCCACCCTTATTTGGAGCCCTGACAGCTGAGCCGTAAACCAACTGGGCGACGGAACCGTCACCCTCCTCCGCTTCCCGGCATGGGTCCCCATCGCCCAGGAGAAAGAAGCCCGAGGCATCATCGCAGCGAGATAACCAAGGACTCTTTTTTGCTCTCCTCACACCTTTGAAGTGGGAAGCTCTTGAGGCAAATCAACAAGAATGTGGCTCTTGCCGCCTGGGTTCCCGGGGCTTGCTGGGGCTGCTCAAGGCGGAGGGGCCGTGGAGGGCTCTGCTGGACTGATAACTTTAAAAGGGCATCTTCTGCTGGCTCCTCACTCGGCTGCTTTATCGCTGCAAGTGACAGAATGGGGAGGGTTCTGTCCCTCTTGCGCCCTTGGAGAGCCGGGGGGCTATAAAAAGAGGAGGCGCGGGGCAGCTGGGAGACGGAGACAGGCGGAGACGAACCACGGTCGGCAGAGGGAAGCCGGAGAGGAGAGGAAAGGCAGCACAAGCGGCAGAGCACTCCTTGACCGACGCCGGCATGGGCTCCTTCTTCACCATCACCACCAGCTTCCTCCTCTTTCTGGCGTTCCAGCTGCCAGGGCCAAGCAGAGCCAACCCTGTGTACAGCTCCGTGTCCAACGCTGACCTGATGGATTTCAAGGTAGGGCCAGGAAGGGGGCATGGTCTGGGGCCCGGGGGCTCCGTGACACTGCCCGTCCGCGAGACCCCTTTCTCTCCCCGTGTTTTCCTTCTGTAAAGAATCTGCTGGACCATTTGGAGGACAAGGTGCCTATGGAAGAGGAGCTCGTGCCCCCGCAAGTGCTCAGCGAGCAGAATGAGGAAGCTGGGGCAGCTCTCAGCCCCCTCCCCGAGGTGCCGCCCTGGACCGGGGAAGTCAGCGCAGCCCAGAGAGATGGGGGTGCCCTCGGACGGGGCCCCTGGGACTCCTCCGAGAGGTCTGCCCTCCTGAAAAACAAGCTGAGGGCGCTGCTCGCCGCCCCCCGGAGCCTGCGGCGGTCCAGCTGCTTTGGGGGCAGGATGGACAGGATCGGAGCCCAGAGTGGGCTGGGCTGCAACAGCTTCCGGGTAAGAGGACCTGGGGTTGGACGCGGGGCGGGGGGGGAAGGAAACTGTGGTTTCACCGAGTCTCACACCCCATCACAGGACACCGCCAGGGGGTGCCTTCGGCGGGAAGGGGGCCAGCACGGAAACTCACGCCCTTGCACATTTCTGCCCCCACTTGGTGGGTGTCCCAAGCGTGTAGGGTCGATGGCATCATCTCTAGCTTGCTGAGACGATGCTGAGAAAGCAAAGTGACTCCCGGGAGGCCTGGAGCCAGGGCGCCTTCATCCTGCGGACTGGCAGGTCGCTCTCCTCCCCAGAACTGTCAGATCCCAAAGGTCAACGGAAATGGACCAGCACTGGCCCTTATAAGCTTCTCATGAGCAACCTGTTTATCAGTTCCTGCAACTCAGAGGGTCGTCAGGCCATGCGGGGGGGCGGCGGGGGCTGGTGGGATGTGAGCGCAGTCCCGTGAAGCTGTGGAGGGCGTTTATGTTTTAGATGCCCAGTGCAGCCAGGACACCGAGCCAAACGTGTCTGTGTTTTCTTTGCAGTACCGAAGATAATGGCCAGGCCTGGGCGGACTCCGAGGCCCGCGCCCCCGGGGGTCTCGCGCTCCACCGTGTACCACCTCATTGCCATCCGGCTGAGCTGTGACGAGCACCCTGTTCGAGCTGCAGGCGCCCGTCTGCACTTGTCACCTTTTGTGCTAAACGTAGATGAAGTGGTTTGACTGTGGCTTCCCCGCCTCGCCCGCCCCGTGCATTATTAACGTTGTAGGGTAAACCCTCACCTGTGATGATTGAAAGAGGTTTGAAAACGAATAAACTTCAGCACCATGGACAGAAGCCAAAAAGCTGGGTTGTGCTTTCTTTCTGTTTCCTAGGGGGGGAAAGGATTCAGCTGGCCAGTCCTGATCACCTTCCTTTAGTCAGGGAGAAGAATGCTCAATGCCTCTCTTCCTCCTTTTGAAAGTCATGAACGAGCTGTTTCTAGAGCAATGCTAGGTGCCCAGCACCGGTGAGCGGGAAGTGCCGGTCTCCCAGAGACGCCCCTCTGCTCACTTGCCCAGCCTCCCCCACTGCCCACATGCCCCCCCGGGGGGGGGGGTATGTTTGTTAGTCCATGCGCCCGCACCGTCAGGACACACCGTTCTCACCCCAGTGCCACAGTTTACACAGAGGTCGTTCTTGGTGGTGTGCGTTCTGTGGATTTGGACAAATCCTTCCTTCCTCTTTCTTTCTTTCTGTTTTTGGGGGTGGGTTGGGATTCAAACTGCACTTTTCAACCTGCTCCCTCACGCCAGCCTCCTCACGGATCCTGAAGAAGCCCCCAGAGACGGAAAGGGCATTGCTCTTTTAGATCTGCTCCTAATTCAGGGCCCTTCAGTATGAAAAAGAAAACTTAAAACATCTGAGCTTTCTTCCCCTTGGTTACACCTAATGGAGCTGGCGTGCAATAGACAATTTTTGCACACCTAGTACTTCCTTTTTTTTAAGGAACATTTTACATAATGAGGGCCCTGAATTTTCTGATCCATTTTGCTGCAGTTACCTGCTGCCACTGAGTTGCACTTTCAGTTTTAAGAAGAGGGAAAGAATTTGGGTTTAAAAGCTGGGCAAACTGAAAGAAATGTTTGCTATGCTGACACACTGCAAGTTTATGTGCCCTTTGGGTACTAACACGCTTTTAAAAATGGGCACCCTCTTTCCCTAATTCAGGCCCAAGGTGCCTGGACGCGTAGATTTCACCGAGGTGGGAGCCCCTGGAGAAGATGGTTTCTTTGTATTGGCTTCTGAAAATGTATCCTCTGTAGGAACTGCCCGGCTCGGGGTCGACCTGCAGCAGGGGGTGGCTCTCGGACCCGTTTCCCACCCTAACCTCCCCGCCCCCCACTCTCCGTAACAGCCCCTGTGCCCCTCCGCCTGCGCCATCACCGCTCTGTGCCCTTGTCCACGCTGTCCCTTCGTCCCGTGCTCCCGAGAACAGCCACTCCCTCCCTCAAGGCTCACTGCAAACACCACTCATTCCCGGAGCCTCCTGGACACCACATGCCCCATGTAAGCTCCACTCCCCGCTGGCAGCGCCGCGTGCATAGTAACTATTGTACCAGGGCAGTCTGTCTGGGAAGGCAAGTTCTTTGAGCGTAGATGCCCCTTTCAGCACCCCGGACCATGGATGCTCTGTAAACGCTGGTCAAGTTGTCTTGGTCTTGTCCGGAAATTGGGAAAAGGGGTAATAAAGTGGCAACTTACTCCTCGAGCAGAGCATGTGGAAGCCAGAAGTGAACTCAGGGTCAGGGAACAGAGACGGGAAGGAACTCTGACCTGATCACCTGCAGTAAGAATGTTCCTTATGTGGACTCCAAGCTCCGAGGGGCGGGAAAGCGAGCAGCAGGGGACTCACAAGGACAAGGGGAGGGGCGGTGGAAGAAGTGTCCAACCTGGCTCCGGGGTCAGGCGCTGGAGGAATGACTGAGAGATGCTGGGAGGGAAGGGTGGTGAGCCGGGCGTGGCCATGACACAGTGGGTTGGCTGAAAGTGCCACATACACAGAAAATGCCCCTGGCACTTGGGGACAGGCGGAGGGGACTGACTGACAGACCGTTTCTACCGCTGCTGCGATGGCAACTTGAAGCAAATCGGCGAGAGAGAAAGCAAGTCCCACTTCTGGCGAAACCAGAAGCGAACAGAAGGCAGGGACACGCGCACTGACGGGAGCTGGCCACAGGGTCTAGACACGTGCAGACGCTGCACCGATGTTGTGGCTCCTGGCTGGCTCACGGGATGTTTGTGGGCAAACTCCTAGCCCTGCCAGGACTACGAACGGCCTCTCCGCCGGCTGCTATGGGCAGCAGCCGCTGGAAGGAGCGGGCAGTTTCCAAAGGAGAAAAGGACGGCAAACACGACCTGACAGAGCTCACGTGGGGGGGGAACAGGGACAGCCGCGTGACGTTTGCCGGGACCCGTGGGGCCCCACTGCTTCCTAGGGTGGTGTGTGGACCCCTGCGAATGAAGGCGCCTGCTGGGAAAACTCTACGGGGAGAGAGCTGAGGCCACACAACTGTCGTCTGGCTTTGCGGCCTGCACACACCAGTGAGACAGGGGGTGTAAGGCCAAACCCAAACGCCACTTCAAAGGAGCACCTCGGAGACCAAAGGCTAGAGACAGATGAAGACGTTTTACTCTGACATGGTAAGGTTATAATGAGAACGTCCAAGTTCCAACAGTTCAAATAAAAATAGGATTTTACAAATTAAAAAAGACACCATTTACATACACAGTGGAATTAGCACACATCACTGTACAAACCAACAGTGCAAACGGAACCAAGGAAGCCGTGGCCATCGCTACGACCAAGGTCCATGGGAGCTGCAGGGCAACGCTGCTCTCAGATCCCGAGGGCCAGGAGGGTGCGCCTGGCCTTTCTGGAGGCTTTCTGGTCACCAGGCTGCGTCAATGTGCCCCTTCACATCAGAAATGTCCTATGGGCAGCTGGGTCAAACAGGCGTCCAGTCCAGCCAGCAGTCTCTAAACAAGGTCACGAGCAAATCACCTGGCAGAGTGCAAAGGCCCCACGGCTGTGGGGACTCTCCCCCCGACTTCCCCACCTACCTCAGCCGGGGAGCCACGAAGCACCAGGCTGGAGACAAAACACGACCACCTCTAGCCACCCCAGAGCCCTCTATGCAGTTTTATCTGTGGAGGGACCACATCACCAGGAGGCCGTGGGGCTCGCGGGACCAGGTGCGAGCTGGAAATGCAGGCTTCTAACAGAAATCAGAGGCGCGAGGCTAACAGCTGCTTTGCTACAAGGCGGGCAGTGGCTGTCTTTGGGCTTATCTGGAAAGGACAGCCGTCCACAGAGGACGGGAAGGGTGTCCTTCCAGAGGGGCCTGGGTGTGGGTCCTCCCTGGTGGTTGTGCAGGGAGTTTGGGGGGAGGAAGGTATTGCATTCTGCCGTCTATGTCTGGGCTATGCTGGTGGGAGCAAGGTATCTTGGTGGCTGAAGGGCAATGCAATGTGCATGGGGTCAATTCCGACGACATTCCCCCGGTGGCTCTGGGGAGCACCTGGTGGCCCGGCCCTGGACGCCAGAGGCCCTCCCACAGGCCGTGGGCCCCTCCAGTCTCTGTGAGGGCTGGGAAGGCAGGCTCTGCCCATGACCCGTGCAACTGGCTCCCTTCGTCATTACAGGGACGGGTCAGAGGGCCGAGCTCCCAGTTGCTGCTTTAGAATAAGGTGGCAGTTGGTGCAACACCATCACACCGAGAAAGGGCTTGCCTTTTTTGGTCCCCGTGATTTCCTGAACGATTTATTGGGGGTTTCAGCCACATTTCACAAATCAGGTGCATCCAGGGATGCTGAAAAACTTAGGCCTCAAAGCACTTTTGGTCAGAGACATGAGAAAATAGCCCTGGCTGGTGCGGCTCAGTGGACTGAGCACAGGTCTGCGAACTAAAGGGTCTCCAATTTGATTCCCACTCGGGGCACATGCCTGGGCCGCGGGCCGGGGCCCCCAGCAGGGGGCGTGCGAGAGGCAACACACACGGATGTTCCTCCCTCTCTTCCTCCCTCCCCTCCCCCTCTCTGTACAAATAAATAAATAAAATCTTTAAAAAAATAGCAAGGAGGGGGCCACGGTCCGTTAGAAAAGACCCTGAAGCGGCCCTCGCTGAAAGGAAAGGGGTCATCAGAGTGTGTTGAACGCGAGACCTGAGCCCCGCACCCACCCCCTTGGCCGCAAGGGTCTTGGCATCGACGTCACCATGAGGTGGAAGGCAGGAGAGCGGTGTCGCTGGGGCCCCGCGGTCCTCGCGGCTTCCGCGGTCAAATCAGAACGTCAGATGCAAACGGCGCCACCTGGAGACCCAAAGCACACCCGCCACGGGGCTTCCCCGTGGGCCCCGGACGCTGGTGAGCATGCGGAGTGGGCGGAAGGCAGAGGCCAGCAGGAGCACGTGCCCGACACTCAGATGCCCACTCAGGGGCCTGCCCCGAGGACCAGCCAGCCTGGAGGGAAACCGAGTCCCCGAGAGACACAGGGGGGCCTCCCATGTGCAATGCTGGCCCCTGGGGGCCCGGCCCTCCCCACTCCAGGCAGGCCCCTCCTGCAGTTCCCACGTCTGAGCCCCTTGGGAGGCAGGGGTGTGGTGACAGCAGGGAAGTGACAGATGTTTATGGAGGGCGGACAGCCTTGTCCTCAAATACGCCGTCTGCTTTGTCACCAGCACCTGGGCTTTCCCAGCTGGCACACGCACCTTGCAGTGGCTACTGCCCCAGGGTTCCCTGCTCTCCACCTCAAAGGCCACCGCGCCGCTCCCCAGAGCCAGGCAGTCCGTCTGGGGTGCCGCGTCAGGGTGCTCGGGGCTGGGCTGTGGCCGCTCTTCCAGGGAGACGCAGGCACAAACGAAGGGGGGTTTCCTGCCGCCCGGCTTTCCACTCAGAGACTGTCAGTGGGGAACGCCTTGTGCACAGAGACTGCGCCTGCAGCCCACGCCCCGGAAGCAGAGCGGGTCCCTCAGACGAACAGGCACCGAGCCGAGAGGCCCGGTGCAGGAAGGCCCCCCAGGCACAAGGCTGTTTCCACAGTGCCCAATTCCAGAACTTAGTAATTCACTTCATTTTGCAACTGATTCCCCCCAGTGTCTGCCTGGGCCACAGCCCCTCTCATCACGGTTTAAGGCAACAGCGGGGTTCCCTAGGAAAGCAGCAAGGGGGGGGCAGGAACAATGCGCTGGGGCCCCCCCTCCAGCGAGGCCCGCCACCCGCCTGCTCCGGTCCTGGCGTTAGTGGGGTGGAGGGGCTGCGGCCCGACTGGACACTGGATGGGGGGCCTTGGGGAGCAGGAAATGGGAAGATACTGCTGAGCACGGCGGCCAAGGCCCAACCCTCGTGGGTTAACACCGTCCCCGGGACCTCTGACCAGCAAAGCGTCTGATGACTGCAGGCTTTCCGAGTGAGGGGGTGACTGGGGATGTGCCGAGCCCCGGAACGGCCCAGGCAGGGCTGCCGCCCCAGGGAGCCCCGGGAGAGGGCCGGCCGGCCCGTGGCGTGAGGCCACTGAGCGGGCCCTCAGATGGTCTGGTAGTGCTGCCGCAGCCGGGCCTGCAGGAACTCGTAGGTCAGGTTGTGCCGGGTGATGATCCCCACGATCTAGGGCGAGGAGGGAGAGACCCGAGTCACCCCAGAGTAAAACCCGCCGGGGCACGGCCAGGAGCGAACGGAGTGCGCCTGGTCTGTCACGAGAGCCGGAGGAGACAGAACTGGGTCCCGGCGGCGCAGAACAGGTGCGGCCACAGAATGAGGACCCTCACTCCGGAGGCCGCTTGACCTCCAGACGGAACGGGATGCGGGTGGCCAGGGCTCATGAGCTGGAGGCGTGAACGTGGCTTCAAAACACCCTGTGGCTGCACCAGCTAAACTCTGAACTCGCCCGTCTTTTTAAGCAGGGCACTCGCTCCCCGGCTTTCCCGGCTCCCGCTACCCCCAGCCTGCTGACGTACGGGTGCCCGAGGAAGGGCCCGGCCAAGGCGTCTCACAGGCTGTGACCCTGGCGCTCCTAAATGCCATCTTCCGAACCACCGTCACGCTGACTCACAGTGAGAAGCACGAGCACATATTTGTTCTGCGTCCAAGTCCCCGCAGAAAGTTCTTAAAAACCCCTGGCATTTCCTAAGTGGTAAGAGTTCATAAAGGAGTCTTTTATTTATTTTTCACAACAAGCCCTCCCAACCACACCCGAGTCTGTGTTGATGGTGTAACTTGTGGAAGGACCCCAAGGAGGGAGGCCGGCTGCCAGGGGAACCAGCCCCGTGACTAGAGGCCAGCACTCTCAGCCCCAAGCCCCTGCTTGGCCACGCCTTCCACATACGCCGCCCTGGGCGGCACCTTTTCCGTCAGGCTGTGGCTGAGCTGCGACCCTTTGTAATAAACCGGCAACCTATCAGCAGACTGCTTCCCTGAGTTCTGTGACCAGGGGCCGTGAAAACCTCATTTAGGGCCAGGTCAGAAGCCCAGGGGACTGCTGGGACTTCCGGCTGCCAAGGACCCTTAGCCTGGCGCCTCTGCAGGTTGACAGGGCCAGCGGGTGTCCAGAGGGTCCGAGAAGTGCTCGGTGGGGGGAGCCCCACCCTGGGTGACAGATGCACAGGAGAGTGTGGGGGCGCGGAGGGACAGAGTTCTTCCTTAAGGGCCGCTGCTCACTGTCACCGCGGCAACGTCCTGTCACTCAGGCAGGCAGGCGCCGCACACCGTGAACTGGCGGCCCCGTGAAGCAGGGGACACGACTGATCCGCGGCAACCACTGCGTCCGAAGGACCTGTCCTGTGCACTCTGACCTCAGGGAGGGACCTGTCCCTCTCTGGGGGGGCCTCAAGAAGCGACCGCTGCAGGGACATCTAACTAACACTGCAGCACAGAGGGTGACCGAGCGCATGCTACAGAGCGCGGTGCCCGGAGCGGGCCCTGCGGGGCGCCGGGGCCTCCCTCACTCGCGAGTGCTTCGTGGTGCGGCCACGCCCTGCGGGCGCCGACCGGCGCAGCCCTGGCGTCGTGTTCGTTAACACTCGGCACACGAGATCCCTGTCTAGGTGCCGAGGGCGAGGGTAAGCTGGAAAATTAACATGGCTACCTCGGGAGAGAGGGTGGTTTGGTGCTGCTTTTTGGGTTTTTTGCTTATCTATGTCTTCTTATTCTTCTGCAATGAAACAACAATGCTGTGTAACAAGAAAAATACGGAGCTCGAAGAAGAAAAAATGGCAAAGTCTGTAGCAATAATTACTGAATACTGAGTGTTGCATCTCTTACAATTGTCCCAGTGTTTTGCTTGAAATTCTCTCATCTAATGGTCTCAATGCCCACAGCAGGTGGGAACAGGTGCCCCGCACCCCCACCAGCCTCCAGGTGCTGCCAGCCCAGAAGAGAGCTGGCCGCCAGCGTTTCTAGTCCACGGTGCCACTGGCGACACCTGCTGGCCATGCTGGGGACAGCACGTGAGGAACACAGGCGGCAAAGGGGAAAGTGGGTGAGGCTGGCTCAGGCCCCACCGGCCCACCCCCTCCTCACTTCCTTGGGCGAGTTTCAGAGGAGGTTTTGGTCTGGAAACCTCCCTGGTGGGCCCTGATGTGCCCTTAGGGTGGAGAAGCCCTGACCCCCAAACAGTGCTGTGGCCAGGGGGTCCTTCCCGGCAGGCGGGAGGACGGACGGGCCGGCACAGCCGCAGACTCACCTCTCCCACGGCGTTCACCACCGGCAAGTGCCGCAGCCCCATGGTCCTGAACAGGTTGAACACTTGGGAGACGCTGGTGTTGGGTGAGACGGTGAAGGGGGACGGGTTCATGTACGGGGTGACGTCCTGCACAGGCGAGATGGCGCAGGTGAGCGGCGGCCCGCGCTGCCCTCGCCGGGGTGGGGTGGGGCGGGGCGCAACCCGGCTCAGCCCGCCCCTGAGGGCGGCCCTCCTCACCACGATCATCCGGGGGTTCAGCAGGGTCAGGTCCAGGTCGTGGATGTCAGGGTACCGGGGGTAGTCCTCGGCCATCTCGGCGTAGGACAGGCGCGGCTGGCTGGCGCTCTGCAAGCCCAACCGAGACACGGTCCTTGCTCGGGGCGCGGCCACGGGCAGGGTCACAGGTAGAGCCCCCTCCACCCCAGGGTCCGCATCTGCCCAGCCACAGCCCCCGAGAGCGAGGCGGCCAGAGCAGGCGCTTTGGGGCGAGACCCTGATCCAAGGCCAGTTCCCCCTCAGCCTGTGCCCGGCTGTGTCGCCTGGGCGAGCCTCCGAACTCCCCTGGACGCCCCTTTCTCCACCTGTGGAACGGACACGGGCTGTTCTGAAGTTTAAACGAGGAAAGCACTGACAGGGGCTGTGTGCGCTGGCTCGTGTGCTCCCAAAAGATAAACCCAAGTCTGAACACCTGGAGCCCGGGAACCGGGCCGCACTGGGAGCCAGGCCTTTGCAGACGTGGGCCAGCGCAGACGGGGTCCTCCTGGGTTAGGGCGGCCTCAAACCCAGTGCCTGGCGCCCTTATAAAAAGAGGAGACACACGGGGAGGAGACCGCGGGACGGGGAGCAGAGATGGGAGTGACGCCTCTACAGTGAGCGAATGCCGAGGGGGGCTGGCCGCCACCACTAACTGGGGAGGGGAGGCGAGGACCCTCCAGCACACGCGATGCTGCCCACCCCGGAGGCTGTGCTCTGGCCTCGGGAAGGAGGGGGGCGCCAGCTGCTGAGAGAAGCCGCCCGCAGGAGGCAGCAGCTGGGTGCGGCAGCCACAGGAAACTCGGCCACTAGCTCCGTCCCTGCTCCTCCACCCCGAGTCTCACTGTTGCTGTCACTGGGCCCCTGGGCCACCACCCCTGGTGGCCACAGTGACCACCAGTCCTGGTCACTGCTCTGCTCCGTCCTCCTCCCTGAGTCCACTCTGCACACGGCCCCCACTGCGGTGTCAGGCCGGCTCTGGCTGGCGGGGCGTGCAGGCGAGGCCTCTGCAGTCCGGCCCACTTGACGCCCCCAGCTTCCTTGTCCCCTGTGCTCCACTTGACCCCGCTACCCCACTCCCAGCCAGGCCGGTCTTCCCCAGAGACCACCCTCTCAAGCCCCAGCCTCTGCACCCGAGGCCCTCCCTGCCCCGCCCCACCCCGCCCTGTGTGTGCCGCTCCTCCGTGCACCAGCTGGACCCCGAGTGACCTCAGCTGACCTCCAACGGACTAGACCTGAACCAGGAGAGTCTGTTGGAAAACAGGCCTCTGAGCAACTTTTCCAGGCCCCTTCCCCGGCTCCCCCTGAAGGGATGCAGTGTGTGAGGGGGAGCGGGTCTCAGGTGGCGAGGGAGCCACTGTGGACAACAACCCCCCGAGTACCTCCACAAAATCCAGTGGAAAAGAGAAACTATGGGTGAATTTACGGGAAGGATGGTATTTCATTCGATAACATACGTGAGCAGGTTCATGCACAGCAGAAACCAAAACACAGAAATGTATTCAAAGCCTGCAGGCCGGTAGGACACCTGAGGACAGGTGAGAGACCGAGTGCAGAATGGCGGGGGGGAGCTCTTGCGCTCGGCTCGGTGTCACCTGGAGCGCGGCGATGGGCACAGAGGGGCCGTGGGGCGGCACACGACTCCCAGCGCCCCCTCTCCTCCCTGAGGCGCAGGGCTGTGCTCCTGCCCTCCTGCCCCCCGCGGTCCCACTGCAGAGGAGACTCACCGACTGACTCTCGGAATAGCAAACTCCCCGGACGAGTAGGGTGACCAGCTGCGACCGAAGGATGAGGCCGTGGAAGGTCAGAGGGCGGAAGCGTTCCTCCATGGTCCAGTCTTCACTTGGGGACTGGTCAGGGTATAGGTTGGGGTAGGGAGTGTATCTGTTACGTGAAAACCAGACGCTGCCGAGTGCACCCTCGCAGGACCGCGTGGCTTCCACGCCCGAGCCCTCCCCAATCCACCCCCCACCCCCGACAGCACCGGAGCCGAGGCTGACCCCTCCCGACCGCCCCCCCCCCGCCCCCCGCGGGCCGCCGGCCCCGTGCGCGCATGTGGCGGGCGGAGCCGCGCCCTCACCTGCGCTCCAGCATCTGCTGCAGCAGGTCCTCCTTCTCGGCGGGCTCCTCCGAGGCCACGTGCTCGTCGCACATGTTCCGCAGCTCGCTCGACGGGTAGGACTTCATGGACTGGCTGCGCCGGCGCTGCTCGCCGGCTCGGGTGAGGATGCTGGATTTCTGGGGGTGGGGAGGGGGGGCGTGGGCAGGTTTCTGGCGGGGAGGCCGTGGGTGGCTGCTCGCGGGCACACTGACACAGCGCCTACTCGGCGAGGTGCTGTGGGTCTGGGCGACAGAGGGGGTGCACAGCACAGGCCGGTGGGGGCTGCAAGGCATCCTCGCAGTGGCTCGGGGGCTCACAGGAGCCTCCCGGGGCCGCGGGGCTTGTTACGGACCCCGTGGTTCCGGCCGGCCCACTTCCCTGCTCCTTCGATCTGGAAGCCGCACCTCAGCTCTCCAGTGGGAAACCACCCTCCTCCCGCGTCACCTTTCAGTGGGACTGTCTGTCTCTGTGCCCCTCGGCCCCCAAAGCCAAGGGGTGGGCACATGGCCCAGGTGCCTCTGCCTGGACTTCAAACTGGGAGCCCCCAAGGACAGACAACAGCCAGCTCTGAGGCCTCCTGGCCCCCAAAGAGCGTCCACGAGCCGCCTGCACGCCCAGGGCACACACACCACTCCGGGTCTCCCGCATCCCTGTGGGTCCTGTAGCTGCCAACTGCTTTTTTCTTTCTTAAGTAGGACGAAGTCCGTTTCTGCGCTTGGCAGCTCTGAGCCCACCCGGACACAACCTGCACACCGTAAAGAACGAAGCCCAGAGACTGTGGAATAAAAACCAATCTGCCCACGTGCTGCCTGGGAGAACGGACGCCTGTCCTGCTGGCCTAGATGAAGCCCACTCTCGCTGTGCTCACGGTCGCACACCGTGAAACGTGCCGACCCCTCAGAGCCGACCGGAGCCACCCCATCGGCAGGGGGTGTGACCAGCGCTGGTCGGCGTGAGCGACGGAACCACTTGTCATCTGTCCCTCTCCTCTCCTCTCCTCCCCTCTCCTCCCCTCTCGGGCTGCTTCTCTCACCTTGAACTTGATGTTGTTGCTGATGAGCTGGTTGCCCTTCATGAACTCCTTCTCGTTGCCCCGGTTCTCCGTGACCACCGGGAAGGCGTGGTGGACCGTGGTGCGCAGGATGCTGACCAGAGACTGGATGCGAGTGTGCGGGTAGACGTAGGTCAGGTTGGGCTCCATGATGTCGCTGGCTCTCAGCCTGGGGGTGGGGGGAGGAGGGAAGCCGTCCAGCCTCATGCGAGGGCCCCAGGGAGCAAGCCATGATGCGCTGTGCTGGGTCTCTGGTGTGCCTCTCCCGACCGTGTCCTCCGCACACGCCTGTCCCCGTGCCCAGGACGCCCTTCCCTGCCTTGTCAGACTACTGGGCCTCTACTTGCCCCTCGGCTCAGTGTTCAAAGTCCCCTCGGCACAACCCCGTCCACTCGCCCAGGGGACTGACTGGCCGTCCCCTCTGAGCACCTCATGGCACATTCCACATATCACCACTGACTGGCTAATTCTAGCAGTGGAATTAAAAAAGGGCCCTGGCTGGCATGGCTCAGTGGATTGAGTGCGGGCTTCGAACCAAAGCATCGCAGGTTCGGTTCCCAGTCAGGGCACATGTCTAGGTTGCAGGCCACGGCCCCCAGCAACCGCACACTGATGTTTCTCGCTCCCTCCCTCCCTCCCTTCCCTCTCTAAAAATAAATAGATAAATAAATAAAATCTTTTTAAAAATAAAAAATAAATAAAAGCAATATATTTAAAAATAAAAAGGGTCTGAGTGCCCCTTTAACCGGGGATGGCTGTCTGGGGCTCCTTCCGCACGGCCAGGGCAGAACTGGGCCACCGCGACTGAGACCACGTGGCCCGCAAAGCTGGCCGAGCTCACTCTCTGCCTCCGTACAGAGCGCTGCTGGCCCCTCTGAGAGACTCCCGGGGCCTTGTGCGACAGCCCCGACACGGGAGGCGCAGACACCTGTGCGCTGGTGGGCGGTCTGGGGGTTGCGCCCGGGAAATCACTGCCGACAGTATGAGATCCCCTGAGGCGCCCGTGAGGCGGGCTGGTCCTCAAACAGGGCTCAGCAGACCCTTCCACGTTCAATCCTGACGCTGACTTCTGCGCTGTGGAGCGCTCACTTCCTGTTTAACCAGAATGCCCCAGGAGCCAAACGAGCCCAGGCGTCGGCCCTGCCCGCTCTGCCCTTCTGTCCCCTGCCCTGTCCCTAGTGCCCAGCCACACCGAGCTGAGCCATGTCCCCAGACACGTCCGGGAACCAACGGGCTTGCTAGTTTAACGACCCTCCTGTTCTTTCCTGTCTCACTCACTTCCGACCCCAGAGTCCGAACAACCGCTTCCTACCCGACAGCAAACCTTCCTCGGGCCCTAGCGTTTACGAGTTCTGAACCCAGGACGTGCGGGGGCAGTGTGGCCTCACTTGTCCATCTCTGCCTCCGTCTCCCACTCCAGAAGCGGCACTCCTCGCAGGCCCACGTGGATGTCGTAGATGCCCTTGTTGAAGAAGTCCCCTGTCCACTTGGCCACCTGCAACACACAGCCGGGACTTGGAGAGAGACCGCTGTGGGGCGACCCTGGCCCTGTACCTCAAAGGGGCCTCGCAGGGGAGCGCTCACCATCAGAGTGACCATAATGGGGAGCCCGTAAGTGATCTCATTGGTAGACTCGATCAGGATGACCGTGAGACTGATGGTCATCCGGACGACCCCGCCCAAGAACGCCGCGGCGCCGATCAGGGCGAAGGTCCCCGAGTAGATGTGGCCCAAACCGATGTAGCTGGTGGAGGGAGAGACCGAGAACGTGGCTTAGAATCCTGCCTGGGGGAGGGGGGGCGGGGGCCACGGCCCCCACACCTGTGCGTCTGTGCACACACGCGCATGCTCAGGCACGCACACGCGCTACCTTTTGAGGACATTGGCGACCAAACGCCCAAAAGCAGCGCCGCACAGCAGAGAAGGCACGAAGAGGCCGCTGGGAACAGAAATGCCATAAGTCCAGCACGCAAGCAGGAAGTAGAGCACGAAGAACAAGGCCAGAGTGACGGGGCTGAAGGTGCCTGCAAGGCAAGGGCAGACCTGAGTCCCGAGACCGGGTGCCCGCCGAGGCCCACCGGGCCACTGTGGCTCCTGCACCCCACCCAGTTCGCCGCCACCACCACCACCACCACCACCACCAACAACAACACCACCACCACCACCGGAGGCAGAGATGCTGATCTGTCCGGGTCGGCACGGCAGCGGGAAAGCCCGGTTCCCACCCAGAATTAAGGGCGAGGCTGGCTGCATCTGACGGCCGGCAGAGGCGCTGAGGAGTCCCTGTTCTTTGTTCCCCGGAGAGAAACCGGCCGCCCGGGATGCGTGGGCACGCAGGAACGCACCGTCCTGGTGGAAGAGCTGCAGGATGGCAGACTCCTGGGGGTTGAAGAACAGCGTGGCCATGTCGTTGTAGGTCTCGTTGGGACAAAAAAAGGTCTTGATGCTCGAATTCACATCTTCTGATGCGACCTAAGAAACAGAAGTCAAGGTCAGCACGCCTGACTGCACCCCTCCATCTTCCGGCAGGAGGTTCCCGGCTAGGTCGAAAACGTCTGGCGTTCGAGTTTTCCCCGTAAATTAACCAGGCATTAAAAAAGAGCTCTGCACCCAAGAGCAGCCAACTGAGACTGTACTCCTCGCACTGGGGAACGATGAACCAGGATGTGGCCCTGGTTCACCCACGCTCGTGGAGAACACGCAGCTGGGATTAGGAGCCCCTGCGGATTTGGCCTCGCCTCTGCCCCCTGTGCTGGCTTTGTGAGCGACACTCCCGGAAGGAAGCCCAGCCCAAGACCCCGGCGACCAGGGGGAGGTGAGGCAGGCGACAGACAAGTGGCTGGGGGTTGGCAGGTTTGCGGAGCCGTGTCCAGGGTATGGCTGACCTAGCGGCCCAACTTCGGCTCCGAATGGAAAAAGCCTCCACCCTGAATCTGCTGCAGAAGCAAAGCCACTTCCGCACGAGGCCTGATGCACACCAGGTGCTGCGGGCTCCCCCGCCACGCTCCACCTGGCTAAGCAAGACCCAGCTGAGCAAGACCCCGTCCAGGAAACAGGTCACTACTTCGTGTCTGAGACCTCTGGTTCTCCCCATCACCTTGTGCAGAAGGTGAGATTCTGGCACTGCCTAACTCCTTAGAGGGCAAGGGTGTCCGGACTACGGCTGTTCTTGCTTTCCATCTGATGGTGGGCGACAGCATGGGGGTGAACTTCACCCCGTCCTCGGGCACATGGACAGAAAGCATTCCTGCAAAGCTCACTAAGGCTGTGGACTAGTCCTGGGCTCAGTCCTACTGATAACACTGTAGAGACAGCCGTGTGTGGACACTCCAACAATGCTAGGTGATGGGCCTGTCTAACCCTATCGGGTGAACCTGGCTGGGTTCAGCTGGAGGAACGCTGCAGGAGGAAGTGGACAGTGCCCCCTACTGGTGGAAGGTGGCGGGGAAAAGCTGGCAAGGGAGAAATGTGTTTAGGACAGCGATGCATGGACAGGCTGAGATGACAGTGCAGCAGCCAACACGTGCAGCGTTTCCCAAACCACATCGGGAGGAACGCCAGTCCTGAAGGCTCCCGGGGAAGAGTCACATGCCCTGAGCAGCACCAGAGCACTTGCTGGAAATCGGAGCATCCCCTAAAAGCAGAGTGCGGGCTCATATAACCAGAGGGACCTGACACTCTCTTGTGACCTTAGGAAAGGTACCGTATTTTGCTGTGTATAATGCACACTCTTTCGCCCCAATTTCCGAGTGAAAAAGAAGGTTGTGCGTTACATGTGGGCAGTACTAACTCCCATGTGCAGTGTGAAGTATACATGGGAATTAGCACTAAAACGTGGTGTGCATTATTCACGGCAAAATGAGGTATTCCGTTTTGTGCTGCCTCAGCTTCCTCATCTGCAAAACGGGCACGGCCCCCACCCCACGCGTTGCTAGCTGAGTGACCTTGGGCAAGACCTCACTTGGCCCCCGTTTCCCCACCTGCAGAATGGGGGTAACGACACGCGCCTGCATGGCCGTGGTGGGGGCGGTATGAGATGATTTTCTAAAGCGCCTCATGGAAAATCTGGGGCAGTGAACGTTCCAAACGTTCGTAACTCTGACTGGAACTTAAGGGCCTTACGAAGTCTGGCACTGACGAAATGTATTCCGTTCTGGTTAACCCGTTTGACCACAGAACCCGTTTCCACGTGTTTCTGAATCATGTAAACCAGTGTTCCTTGGACCGCATTTTAGAAGACACTGGTTTAGTGACGAGGCGGTGGCCTTGGGAATAACCAGTAGCAGGTCAGTGAAATTTGTCTGTGAAGAGCCAGATAGTGCATATTGTAGCCTTTGCAGGCCATATACACTTTTTCTTTTCTTTTTCTTTTTCAAATTGTATTTGTTTATTTTCGGGGGGGGGGGGAAGGGAGGGAGAGAAACATCAATCGGATGCCTCTCGCACGCCCCCAGCTGGGGACCTGGCCCGAAACCCCGGCATGTGTCCTGCCCAGGAATTGAACCAGTGACCCACTGGTTCGCAGGCTGGCGCTCAACCCACTGAGGCACACCAGCCAGGGGCCACATGTAACTTCTGTCACATATTCTTCCTGGCCTTTTTCAGCTCTTTAAAAATGCAGAGGCCAGTCTTACCTCAGGGGCTACAAGGAAACAAGCAGTTGCCAAGGGCTGCGTTTGGCCCGTGGGCCGCAGTCTGCCTACCACCCTGCGCCCCGACTCCGCTGCCTGGGCAGGCCTGGGCACCCTGAAGAAGCAGCCATCCGAGACAAGGCCCCAGAGGGCCCCTGGGGCACTCGGGGGGCCCCTCGGGACTACTAGACGGGTACTTAGACAGCACTCCCAGGCCCCACCCTGCAGGCCAGAGCCGTGCAGCTGGCCAACCAAAGTCCAGCTCACAGACCCACCGCCAGGCTGGCCCCGAAGCCGTGGGGCAGAGTCAGCTCCGACTCCTGCCCCACGGCCCCTGCTCTTTCAGGGAGAGGTTCTGGACACTCCCACATGCTCCTAAGAACGGAAAAGGGGCAGTGCGGACAGGACGGGTGCCAGGAAGTGACCTCACCACCGTGAACAGCCAGCACTGCTGTTCACCCTGCGGCGGTCACTCCTGCCGCCCTGTCTCAGTGAGACCCGCGGCCACCGGGGTCGGGGGAGGAGGTGAGGCTGGTGGCACATTTCAGGTGTGGACAGCTAGAAGAGTGGACTGGGGCTTGAAGAAGACGCAGACTGTTCTGCTTCCAAGTGGTGCTGTTCCAGAGAGGAAGCGAGGGGCCGGAGGTCACGTCCGTGACACCAGGGCAGCCAGGACAGCGAAGGAGGCAGAGGCGCACGCTTGCTGGTGCAGAAAGGCTGCTGCACACCCCTCCCCCTCGGCAGGCCGGGCAGGCGCGGAACAACGCGCCCAGCAGCTCTAACAGAGTCACGTCCTGTGCTACGTGTTTCTGGATCCTTCCCGCGGACGCAGCACGAAGGCGGCTGCAGTGGCGCCGGGGTTACCTGGGGCAGGAACGAGCCATTCCCGGTCTGGCTGGAAGACGACATCTGCCGGCACTCCCCGAGCACCATGGAGGCCACGAACACCACCGCAGTGGTCACCAGGGACACCAGGAGGCTCTCCAGGACTCTGCGAGGCAGAGGAGGCCGCGATGACGGGGTGACAGGACACTCCACAGCCTCGGAGACTCGACACACAGCCCTGCCTGCCCCCCGCCCTCGTCTCCCCAAAGGCACGCACACGCAGCAGCCCCCAGTCAGTCAGCACTTGTTCTAGCAATTTCTACGCAAACAGTGGGTAGCCGGGGACGTGGCTGCGGCGTCCACATCGGCTCCCTCTGAACAACAAGATGGCCTTTCGTACATGGTCCCGGGGCTGAGAGCCTCACTGACCCTCCTGGCTCGGTCACGTGCCCTAGTGGCGAGTCAGGACAGGCTGGGGGCCCACCAGCGACTCTGGTGTCAGTTAAGCTCAGACGCAGCCTTCTGGCCTGTCTGACAGATACGGCCGGTGTGTGACCCTGTTTACTGCCCCAACCTTGGACGTGAGATCAGAGCTGGTGTGGAAGGCAGGGTCTGGTCACGTGGCCGCCTCCCTCCGGAGAGAGGGCCCCGCCCACACAAAGCTCAGGGAGCCCCCGCAGCAGGTCAGGGGAGGCGGCTGCTCAGGTACCTGACGAGCTTGGGCTTCGGGTGCACGTTTCGCATACGGTACTTTGCGAGCCTCTTGTTCAGACAGTTGAATGTGGCTCCCAGGAGGCCCCCGATGACCCCCATCACAATGAAGAAACCCAAATCCACAGCTGTCCAGAGGTGACATTTTTTGTCAGAGTCAGAGCACTGAGAGGAGGAGGGCAAGGGAGGGAGAGAGAAGCACCCCTGAGAACAGGCAGGGCCCCTGAGAACAGGCAGGGCCCCTGAGGACAGGCAGGGGCGGGAGCAGAGGAGGCAGACATGGGGTGGGGGGCGAGGCTGCCGGCTCTCCCCGGGAGCCACGTGGTGCTGGAGCCCCGCCCACACCGGCCGGGGGGTGGGGCGAGCCTGGGAGACTGGCGGGGCAGGGACTCCCCCCCCCAACCAGAAGCTGCACCCGCCCTTCTGATCACTTCTCCCTGGTACTCAGAGCAGCAGTCACGGGTCACGCAATAAATTCTGGGGGAAAAGGACGGAACATACCTTAAACTCGCCGAAGCTCAGCAGTCCAGGGAGGTGGAAGGAGCCCCAGCTCCCAAACTGAATCCCAGAACGGAAGAAGTTGAGGGTGAAGGTGGCCGACATGGAACAAAAGAGCTGGGGACAGGTGACAAAACAAGGACGTTCAACAGGGACAACTCCTACTTCTCCCTGGCCCTCCTCGTAGAGCCCCCCGCTCTCCACAGCAACCTGCGAACTCCAGGTCTGACTCAGGGTCCAGGGACCGCTGCGGGGAGGCACCCCCGGTGCGACCGACTGCACTACGGGCCACAAGAAGCTTCCACTTCAACGGCCTGTGGCTACAGCCTATTTGCTCACAGCCAGTCACGCACCAGCTCCCGAGCCAGAAAGGAACAGCAGGCACTCGAGGAAGAACGCGCTACTCTAAGGTAGGGGACCGGGGTCCTGCCTGCCTGACGGCCACGCCAGCACCGCCTCTTCCCGTCGGACGGCTCGCCGAGAGAGGATGAGGCCAGTGTGACGTGGGGAGGTGGGGGCACGAACACGAAAAGCACAGGAGAGTCCATGGCCTGGCAGTCATGGGCGTCTAAGGCAAAGGAGTTTCCGACCCAGGGAGCCACGCCGGTCATCAGGGCCACAGGTACCGGGCAAGGCGTGTCCAGCCTGACCCTGTGCGCGTGGCTCCTTAGGAGAAGGCTTTCCCCGGAGGCCCCCCTCACCACTTTCCACGTGAGCCCTTGGTTCCAGAAGGACGAGCCCTCCTCCAGGCTGAACAGGGTGCCCCCGATGGGAGCCCCGAAAGCTGCGGCGACGCCGGCGGCTGCCCCCGCAGACACAAAGTCTCGCTTGTCTCTGAGGAGAGAAGGGACAGGCGGTTTATTGGAAAGAGCGCTCAGGCCGCCAAAGGCAGTTCTTCCCTTCCTTATCTGCCAACATCTTATCTGGGGACCCATGGGGTCAGGGCTGGAGGGCAGGTCTCTGGGGAAGCCGCCTGGGCAGCAGATCTGCTCCCCTGAAGCCAGGTGCTCTCCCCAGCCCGAGTTCCGCCAGGTGGAGGGGGCCCCCTGTTGCTGAACACAGCATCTCAGCCCCAGCTCAGCCCCAGCTTGGCCCCTGCTGAGCCAGACTCTCCCCAGCTCTTCCTTCCAGAGAGCCACAGCTTCGTGAAAATGTCCAAGTGCCGGTTACATGCAGAGGCGTGGGTGGCAATGACTTGCAGGAACACTGAGACAGGAAGGTGCACCACAGCTCTGACCCAGGGCCCCGGACTCCACGGGCCCGGTGTGCTCGGCGGTTTCTCACACACAAATCCCACAGGGCGAAAACCCACCGAGAGAGCGCACCGTCCACCCAGAGAGGCGCAGACCAAGCACACTGCTTTGGACTACGAAATGCACCCTTGAGAGCGTGCCTGTGGGCTGTCTCTGTCCAGGGAGTTTCCACCTCCCTGGCCCGAGATGCCTCCAGGCCTCAGTTCACGACAGAACAGAAGCCACTGGACCAGCTGGGCCCTTGCCGCTCATTTCCACGACAGAAGCCCAAGGCCCGCTCCCTCCTGATGCCGGGGTTCGCACGCAGCCTGCCCGGCAGGGGAGAGGGTGAGCCGGCTAGAGCGAGTGCCGCCGGGCCTGAGGGGCGGTAAAGGTCGCCCCGCTATAATTTAAAGAAGCACCAGCCAAAAAAAGAAAATCCAATTCCTAACCTTTCCATACCTGTCACTTCGGAAATAGGGGAAGTTCACCTGGATCTTCCGGAAGGAGATGCTCTGAAACTAAAATGAGAGGAAACCAAGTCAGGGCCAAGCCTACAGGACCCCCGGGGGGGGGGGCAGGTTCCCCCTGACACCCGCCGACCACCTGGGCAGGTGTTCTGCGAGCATAGCAGCCCAGAAGAAGTTATCTTTGGGAGGGACTTCCTTTCCTGCCCCTGAATGTCTACGATCTTCGGAAACTGCACTTTGTACGTGGTCAGCGCGGCAGAAAGAGAACGGGGAAGGAAGCGGCTGAGCGGAGGGCCGGGAGGAAGTGGGAGCTGCCGCAGAAGACGAAGTGGAGCCCACTCGGCTGGCGGTAAGGAAGGGCCGGGCGCCACCCGCCGACCTGTCCGCCACACACTGACTTCCAGGACGCGGGGTCTGGGTGAGAAGATGGAGCAGCAGCAGCAGGATGGGGAGAAGATGGACTGTGGGCGAGACCCACTTGTCTCCTCTGCTCCGACCACTCACTATCGGTCACCCTCGCCCCTCAGAGCGGGAGAGGGAGGCGTCCACACGTGACAGATCACGAGGAGTGGAGATGGCCCCCCCCGCAGCCCGAGTCTAGACTAGCCGGCAAGGACGGGAGCTTCGGAGCACCGGGCCGGCTCCTCCCCCTGTGCTGCTGCTGGCTCTGTGCTGTCTCCGGTGCACTCGGCAAGGCCCGGTGCACTCGGCGAGGCCCTGCGCCCGGGGCCACCCGGGACGGGCTCCCAGCCCCTTGGGATGCGGCAGCCTGAGCCAGCCGCCAATCCACCTCGTGTGGAGGTGCCAGGCAGTGGCTGCGGGGCCCCGGGTGGCTTCCACCTGAACACACTTCCTCTGGGCCCCGTTTCTGACCCCAGGACTTGGCAGGGCCTCGTGAACACTTTGAGGTGTCACGCCCTGGCCAGTGTGGCTCGGTTGGCTGGGTGGCATCCTGCCAACCGAAAGGTCACCGGTTTGAACCCTGGCCAGGACACACGCCTGGGTTGTGGGTTCGGTCCCTAGTTGGGGCGCGTGCAAGAGGCAACTGATTATCGCTCCTGTCTCATATCGATGTTTCTCTTTTTCTCCCTCCCTTCCCCTCTCCCTAGAATCAATAATCAGACTCCAAAGTCAGGTTCAGGTGCTCCCAGTGGACTTTTGCCCACATGGCATCACAGAACGCCCCCGCCCGGGAGAGTGCTGCAAGGGCCTCCCCTCCCCGCCCAGCCGTCCTTACCTGAGGGAGGCCAGCGCCCACCACTGCGCCACTGTGGATCATGGGGCCTTCCTTCCCCACGAAGAGCCCTGAGACAGGGGGAGAGGGGAGACCACCAGTCAGCACCGAGCCAGCTCCAGCTCAGGAGGCCTTGGCTACGCAAGTCTTCCTCGTGCTGACTTTGCAACAGAGATGGTCGCGTGACTGTCTCACGGAAGGAGCAAGTCAGATCCCCATCAGGGGAGAGGAAACACTCTTAATTTAAAGTCTCACTGGGCATCAGCAAACTACAGCCTGCAGGCCAAAGAGGACCACCGGGCTGTTCTTATATAGCTACAGAGGGAAGGGTAAGTTTTACCTTCTTACCTGGGCATGTTTTATATGGTTATGTGTTGGGGACCACTTTGTGTGGCATCAGAGACTGCAGCCCCCCACGAACAAGGCCTTGAGGGAGGCCCCTGAGTCTCGGCTGGAACGCCGGGAATGCTGGAGGCAGGCATGACCCGACACTAGTGCCCACGGTTCCCGTGGGAAGGCAGGCCTAGAGAATACATTGTACCCTTTGAAGCTTGCTTGGCTTTTATGGCTCTGTCGATACACACTGGATGTTGAAGTTCACGGCTTAAGGAGTGAACTCCGTATCTCATGAAACACGTCTTGCAGACCCTCTGGCGTCAGCATGACTCACAGACCCTGACCTGAGGCAGGTCTCTGTGCTGCTTCAGCTGTTATCCATGGACGGCACCTGTGTCTGTGTGACTGTAGCCTTTGACATTGATTGGTGAGCCATGCATGCATGCTGTGCACCCCTACACACACCATTCCCAATGAAAGCCGTTTCAGAGAAGGGCTCGGGGTGTTCCCCACTAGAGGGACTTGCCACCCCCTTTTCCTCGGGAACAGCAAGATTGTGTCCAGGATGACTTATTCTCATCCGAGGCGGCCGGCACAGCTCCGTGGGACGGGGCAGCCCACATCTTAGCTCCCCGACGGCGACCCTTGATTCGGGACCTGCATCGGCCAAGAGGCTACGAGCCATCATCACAGAAGGCACACCCAGACAGGGGCTGGGATTCGGGGCCTTGCACCCCACGGTGAGGGGCAGCAGCACCAGCGCTTTTGGTTATGCCACCGGCGCGTCTAGGGTGAGGGAGAGGGGGGTTTCTTTCAGGGCCACCTCTCGTGCCAGTTTAGTTTTGTTCTCCTCTCCTCTGCCCTCCGCCTCCAGGTATTCCAGGAAACCGCCATCAGCTGACGTCTGCTCATTCCCCAGCAATCAGCCCGAAGAGGGTTACAGAACCAGATAAGCGGAGTGAGGGTGGGGGAAGACAAAAGCAAAAGCAAAAGCAAAACCATCCCAGCCCCTGACACGGGCTCTGGACTTTCCAGGGAGCAGGAGATATGTTTTTGACTGCTTCAGCAACTTCTTCAGGCTGCGGGACGTCAGGTTGGAGAACAGAACTTAATTAACTTACTGCAGACAGTTAGAGCTACTTACTGCCCGTGGTTCCCAGATAAGGGCTCTTCAGATGTGGAAGTGTGGGGAAAAGTGGGGCAGAAGTCAAATGGGATCAGGAGAACAGGACCCCTATAGGACATCAGAATGTATTACCCAGGAGCTAGTTAGAGTGGCTCTTGCCCCTATTTATACTAGAAACCCTGATATTCAGCAAAGCTCAGACACCACAGAGGGGACACAAAGGGTGGTGGCACCGGACGTAGGTGCCGAACCTAATAATGAAAACCCACAGCCGCAAACGGAGGAGGAAGGCTCCCTCCCCCAGCCCCCCTCCGTTCCCACTCCAGGAAAACCTACTGGAGGAGCCACCTGCTCCCCCCACCCCCCCATCAGATTCACCTCGGCCCTCGGCCAGACTGCCAGCGCCTTGCAGCCTCGTCTCCCAGAGGCTGCGCAGCCGGGGACTGGAAAGCTCTGTCCGCTTTCCCCATCGTCACTAAGCAGCGCAGACAGCACGTCCGGAAGGGGAATTCCAGCCGGTCACCCCTGAGCTACGGGACAGCAGCCCCCGGGGTCTGGGAGGCTGCCGGTGCGCTTAGTTTCGAGAAAGGGGTTTCTACTTTCTCTCTACTATCCTTCCACTTCTTTTCTCTCTCTCTACTATCCTTCCTCTTCTCTTCCCTCTCTCCCTCCAGAAACTGCCGCACCCCGTGGGCACGGGTCGAGCATTAAAGACCTCAAGGGCACTTGCCGCAAAGACAGACACCCATGAGAGGACAGGCCGGAACGGGGACCAGGACAGACGCTGGGTTCACGGCCAGCTGCAGGAGGAAGTCCAGGCGACGAGGGGCACACTGTGGAAGCAACCACACTCCCATCCCTGCGGCGGAACAACTTAGGTTTAGTTTTTGGGAGGAGAAAGCAAGATTTTAGCCTTTAGTGGAAGAGCTAGCTTTTCCGGGTTCTTTGCTCCTAGTTATGCCTTTTCTTCGCTCATATTTGCTTCCATTCATAAGTTTCCCTCTCTTCATTTCCTAATATACTCTCCTTCGGTCAGGCATTCGGAAACCTCATCAGCCTTGAGTTTTGAAAGACTTGTTACAGAAGGAAAAATAAGCATCGAAGTCTTTAAAACACTGCACATTCTAGAACTAGGAGCTACCAGGTCCAGAGAACAGCAGGGCCATTAACTGGCGTCACAACCTGCAGACACAGCAGGGGGCCTGTCTTTCCGAGCAGGGGAAGAAAGTGACACTTTGAAAGCTCAGGCTGGTTTTCAGCTGCCGCCTGAGGCCTGAGCCTGAGCCGCCAGCTCCGTTTTGTCCAGATTCCGGAGCAGAGCAAAGTGGGGGAAAGGTCACTGTAAGGATGGAGCAAACTGCTTCTCAGGCCACTCCCTCCCAGGGAGTGGGCCACTGTTTAACCGCTCAACTCCCCACTCAGGTTTAATTCTTAAGAGGAGAGAGATCTTTCTACTATCTGACCTCTAACCGAGACGGGAATGGGACTATGGAAGGAACAAGAAGTTTACTTTCGATTGCTCCAGCAGCTGATCAAAGGAGCTGGCTGCCAGGTCACCGACCAGCACTGAATGAGTCTTTTGCAAAAGCTGAAGTATTATTGCCCTTGGTTCCCAGACGAGGGATCGTCAGGCCTCCGGGCCTGGGAGAAGGCGGGGCAGAGGCCAAGGGGCACCAGGAGCACGGAGCAGACGAGGCTGGAGACGCTCCCCCACTAGGATACTGTGTGCCACGCGGCCAAGGGTAAAGGGCTTCAAGACGACAGAAGAGGAGGCACTGAACTAACATCACAGGGGTGTCTCTCCCCACTCCTGTGAGCTGAGTCTTGTCAATCAAGCAAATCAAACCAGGCAGTTAACTCCAGTGGATCTCTCGAACCCAGTGCTGTCACTTTGTTTTCCTACTCTCCGCACGCCCACAGGAGTGTTAGGACAGCGAACCCCAAATCTGAAGTCACTGAATGGCTTTTCTTCCCTCCCCAGCCACGTCAAGCCCCACATCACAGCCCTCAGTCAGCTTATCTTCAAGGGCCGTGACTGGGCCCGACAGCGACCCTGGGGAAGAGGGTGTGCTCGTGTCTCCTCTCCCAAGGGACCCTTGGGGCTGCCGGCGAAGAGGGTGAAGCCGTATCACGGAAAGGGCTACCCCGTTCTGTGGCCCGCCTCCGTTCCGCTGGACCCCCACCCCCCCGACCCAGGAAGGAACAGTACAGCTGACGGAGATGCTCCCGTCACCTGTCAACAGCTCACTTGCGACCCAGGCCTCCCCAAGCCGTGGGTCACCCCTCCGCAGTGGGACTCCCGTCAGTGCTCATGGGAGGAGGTCCAACCTGGCCCGTGAGGGGCCTTTCCCACCGATCTCCAGGGACAAGTCCACCAACCCCAGCTTGAGCCACGTCAACAACTCCAGGACGACACACGGTTCACCGAACGAGGGGTCTTTCGGGCCTTGCATGACAACTTACAGCGGCTCAATGCAAGGACTCGGTTTCAAGGACCAAATCTGCGGGTCTAGGTCACAGGGGCTACGGGCTGCCTCCTGATCACCGTCGTCTTTTGAGCCCTGAGATGCACGCACCAACTGTTTTCCGGAGACCGTGCAGGCGGAAAGCAAGTAGCAGGCTTCATCGTACTTACCACCGAGACCGCCATGACAAACAGGAAAGGGGGAGATGGAAGACAAGGACCTGCATCTAAGACGACTCCACCCAGCAAAGCTCTCATTTAGAATGGAAGGGCAGATAAGGTGCTTCCCAGATAAGGTCCAGTTAAAGGAGTTCATCACCACCAAGCCCTTATTATATGAAATGTTACAGAGACTCATCTCAGAAAAAGATAAAAGATATGAACAGTAAAATGAACACAAACTCACAACTATCAACAAATGAACCTAAAAGAAAAGAAAACCAACGAAAGCAGAAACTAAGCAAACAACGAGAACAGGAACAGAATCAGAGAAATGGAGGTCACATGGAGGGATTTCAGTGGGGGGGGAAGGGAGGAATGGGGGGAAGAAGCATAATTGGGAGGCATAAAATAGACGGGGAGAGGTTAAGAATGGTACCAGAGACAGAGAACTCAAAAAAAACCAAACCATGTACAACCCACGGACATGAACTAAGGGCATGGGAATGCTGGAGGGTTGGGGTGGCAGGGTGGAGGGGGAACATGGGTAGAAATTGGGAAAACTATAATAGCATAATCAATTAAAAATACTTTAAAAAGGGGGGGAGATGTTGGGGACCACTTTGTGTGGCATCAGAGACTGCAGCCCCCCACGAGCAAGGCCTTGAGGGAGGCCCCCGAGTCTCGACTGGAACGTCGGGAATGCTGGAGGCAGGCATGACCCGACACTAGCACCCACGGTTCCCGTGGGAAGGCAGGCCTGAAGAATACATTGTACCCTTTGAAGCTTGCTTGGCTTTTATGGCTCTGTCGATACACACTGGATGTTGAAGTTCACGGCTTAAGGAGTGAACTCCGTATCTCATGAAACACGTCTTGCAGACCCTCTGGCGTCAGCATGACTCACAGACCCTGACCTGAGGCAGGTCTCTGTGCTGCTTCAGCTGTTATCCATGGACGGCACCTGTGTCTGTGTGACTGTAGCCTTTGACATTGATTGGTGAGCCATGCATGTATGCTGTGCACCCATACACACCATTCCCAATGAAAGCCATTTCAGAGAAGGGCTCGGGGCGTTCCCCACTAGAGGGACTCGCCGTCCCCTTTCCTGCCAGAGCAGCAAGACTGTCCGGGACGACTCGTTTCTCATCCGAGGCGGCCGGCAGAGCTCCGTGGGAACGGGCACCCCACAGCTATGTATGTTTAAGTTCCTAAATAACATTTCCCATTTTGCCTCTTGGCCCACAAAGCCTAAACTACCGATTACCTGGCTGTTTGCATAAACTGCTGGCTGACTGTGCTGAAAGCCAACGCCACAGACCAACTAGATGGTCAGTCTACTTCAAACGGAAGGGCACCTCCCCAGCAGTGTCTGCACGGAGAAGAGCCCACCACCAACAGGAGGCGCCGAGACCTGTTTGAGGGCGGGCCCCCGGCCCAGATCTGCCTCGTTCACATACACAGTGCTCCTTGCCATCTCCCGCCCCCCGAAGACTTGCAGGTAACGTCAGACCCTCCTCACCTCCGGCCACGCTGAACAGCACTCCGAAGGCTTTGCAGAGCAGGGTCCGGAGACGCACAATCCCGGGCACCTTCACGCCATTCAGGTAGCACTTGATCTCGGGGATCCCAGAACCTGCTGCCACTGGCTGGCGGGAGAGCAGGCGTGCCCATGCACCCAGGTCCCTTGGCCCCGGCCCACCCTCACCCAAGGCGACAGAGGGACACCCGACTCCTCCCTCAGCGCCAGCATCCCCTGGCGGGCCTGGGAAGATGGGATGCCTGGCCCCATCCCCCCGGTGTCTGGCCCCGGAGTCAGAGGGGGGATGGGAGGACGTGCGTTTCTAACAGGTTCCCGGTGACTCGGCATCACCCGGGGAGCCTTTCGATCATACGTGCAGGCACCCGGCTTCTGGAAATTGTGATTTCATTCCTTTGAGCTGGGGCCCGGGTGCCAGCTGTTTCCGAAGTTCCCCAGGGCATCCTACTGTGCGTCCCGAGGTGGAGAACCACCCTCCTAATCGAGATGTTTCCTCTTTAACCTCAGCAGGAGAGGCTACACGCCTTTCCTCTCAGAACCGTTTCTAAGTGAGTGAGTGAGTGCCCACTTTCCGCAGGAATCTGCGTTCCAGGTCCAAGCCGGGCCTCCGACCCTCCAGCAACGGCGCCGGAGAGGAGGCGTGCAGGACCCAAACCTCGACAACAGAGGGGCAGCACCCACGCCCCTCACCTCGATTAGGACGAGCAGGCTCCCCAAGAAGACGAAGATCAGGTTGAAGCCTAAGAGCTCGAGGAGGGACAGGGCGAGGCACCCTTTCTGGCTGCACTCCTCCACCGCTGCGGAAGGGGGTTAAGGAAACCGGGCTCGCCGACCGAGGGCTTCCCTGCGAACCCGTGACATGGCGCGGCGTCTCTCCTGAAGCACGTTTACTGCACCCCTTCCTGGTCTCCACGTCTCCACGTCCGAACAATAACAACTAGAAACCGTTTTAACTATGGGATGGTTCGAATATTACAACCCTCCCAGCCCTAGCTTTAATAAATCTCAATGTGATACCCTATTTGCTCCATTTTAAAATTTACTTTATTACTTATTTTTTCTCTTTAAAGATTTTATTTATATATCCTTAGAGAGGGGGGAAGGGAGGGGAAAAAGCGAGAAACATCAGTGTGCAAGGGACACATCGGCTGGTTGCCTCTCTCACGCCCCCAACCGGGGACCCTGCCTGCAACACGGGCCTGTGTCTTGACTGGGAATTGAGCTGGCGACCTTTTGGTTTGTAGGCTGGAGCTCAATCCACTGAGCCACACCAGCCAGGGCTTTTTTTTTTTAAGACAAAACATTAAGAGCCATGAAAAAGAAAAAGAAAAAGAAAGAAAAAGAAAAAGAGAAAGAAAAAGAAAACCTCGCCCTGACCAGCATAGCTCAGTTGGGTGGACGTCATCCCACAAAGTCAAGAATCGCCGGTTCGATTCCTGATCCGGGCACATGCCTGGGCCCGGTCCCCCGTTGGGGCGCCTATGAGCGGCAACTGATCGATGTTTCTCTCACACATCACTGTTTCTCTCCCTTTCTCCCACCCTTCCCCTCTCTCTAAAAATAAAACTTTAAAGCACAATTAAAAGAAAAACGACCTTCACGCTTCTGTCCTCTCTCGTTGGGAGAAACCACCACCATGAAACTGCTGTGCCTCCTTCCCTCTGAGACAAGTTGCAGAGACAGAGCCTCTGGGAAGAGGAGGCAGAGCCGCCGCCCCAGACACCCTGCCCTACCCTGCCCTGCCCTGCCCGTCTGGCTCCCCAGGCCTCTGGAACGTGGGAACCGGACACATTAACCCTCAGACTGCGACTGACAGAGCAGTGCTCACACGGCATGCAAACACTGGAACACAGCCGGCGTCACGACTGATGTTAGCCTCACTCACGCTAGCGTATCTGCACCGGCAGGAAGCCCTTCCCCAGCTTCCTGACACCCAAAGTTTCTCCCCCCATTCCATGACGCAATTACACACGAACGTGATTGCTCCCCTCTCCCTCCTCACTAGTTCCTCCTGCCTTCCCCTCCTAACTGCAGCACTGTCTGAGCTCGGCACCAGTCAGGGCTTCCCAAAAGGCTGTTCTCTGAATCTCAAATGAATGTTTCTTGCGTCTGGCCTTTCAGTTGTAGATCAGCACTTGTGCTTTTTCAGATGTACCCATATTGTTCCGTGTGTTTCTAAAACTAAAGTAATGGCATTACATTTTAGGCACATATTCCAACTTTCTTTTTCTTAGTCACTGTTACGTTTTTGGGAATTAGCTACATCCACATACACACTTCCGGTTCGTTCGCTTTAACTTCTGCACAAAACTGTACTATGTGAACATTCCATGTTCCCACTTGGTGTGATTCCAACTTTTTGCAATCACAAACCTGCAATAAATATCTTCGTATGTGTCTCAGGTCCACGGCTGGGAAAGGGACTCCTGAGTCCCGGGAAGGTGCAGCTTTAAACGTCCACTTCCCCGATCAGCGCAGAGGGGGGCACTGTTCCATCGGGTTATTTACTGGCCATTCAGTGTCCCTCTACTGAGAAGTGCCTGTGCGCATCCTTTACTAGTGTTTCCACTGCGCTGTTTGGGCTTTTCTTCTTAGAGCTACAGGTCTTCCCATGTTCTAGATACAAATGATCTGTCTCTTTTTTTAAAAAAGATTTTATTTATTTATTTTTGGAGAGGGAAGGGAGGGAGAAAGAGAGAGAGACATCAATGTGCGGTTGCTGGGGGCCGTGGCCTGCAACCCAGGCATGTGCCCTGACTGGGAATCGAACCTGCAACACTTTGGCTCGCAGCCCGTGCTCAATCCACTGAACTACTCCAGCCAGGGGCTGATCTGTCTCTTAAAGGTATTGTGAATAGTTTCCCTGAGGCTGTGGGCTTGTTACTCACTTTGTTGATACTGTTTTGGGGTTTGTTTGTATCCGTAGACTATTGACTTTGATGTGGTCAAGTTTTTTCATCTTTTCCTTTTCGCTGAGTGCCTTCCGGAATTTTAAGAAACGATTCCCTACTCTTGACATCACATAGTGCCTTAAAAGTTTTGTTTTGCCCATTTACATTTTCAGTCCATCTGGAATGAATTTCTAGTACCAAGCAGGAGTCTAATTTTCTATTTTTCCAGACGGAGACCCAACGTTCCAGCATCCTTTACCAAACGGTCCGTCTTACCCTCCTCACCGCGTGATCGCACTGACTCTGTCATTCCCTACACGGCCCGGACAGGCCAGCAGCTGCTTCTCTACTACCCCTGTCGTCTAACTAGGCGTCCTTGCACCCGTGCAACTGTTTCAATTACTGTCTCTTGACGCCGGGTAGGGCAAATCTCCCTGCTTGTGGCTCAAAACTGAACGGGACAGTAAGAAGTCAGGATAATTCCTGGACAAGTGGAATGAGAAACTGAGATATGAACGTCAAACAAGGCCAAATAGTTGGAGCAACTTGCAACCAGCTGGTGAATGTGAGAGACCTTATCTCACCTAACCGAGGGCAAGGGGGCAAATGGTTTATGCCTCTCCTCCCTGACCAGAGAATACAAAGCCTCCCTGGCCATAAACCACAGGCCTCTAGGGGGGTAAGGAATGCGATGCAAATGGGGCGATAACACGGAACAAAGGGAGCCAGCTGGGGATGAGGCTGGGCAGCCCCCGCCCCCCCAGGAGAAACAGCGCTTATTTCTGCCCCACCCCTCAGAATTGCCCCCTCCCAACCCCCACACTCCCCCACATGTAAACTTGCTTCTGAAAGCTCAAGGGAGGGTGGATGTTTGCAGGCTTCTCAGACTGTGGCCTCTGATATTAATGCCAATGCAGCTATAATCCGACCCGTCTCGGATTCCTGGCTGAGTGGTGACAGGCAGCACGACCCCCGGACTCAGTGGCCCTCTGGTTTCAAAAGTATCTCAATTACTTTTGGCACTTTACTTTTCCGCACAGATTTAGGAAGATAATTTTCAAGTTCCATGAAAAATTCTATTGGCACTTTCATTGGCCCTACGTTGAATTTGTAGATTGGGCAAAGTAGGCATCCTGGTGGTTCATGTCTTACTAAACCACAAGTACGAGTATCTATTTTATCAAAGTGTTCTTTTTGTGTCCTTCGCTGAAAATGGCTAATAAATAGCTCTTCACAGATCACGTCTACTGTTAAACCCATTTCTGAACGAGAAAGCAAACCCAGAAACGGCTGACACCCAGGAACCCCAAGGCCGACGCAAAGGATACATGTCTGCACCACTCCGAACTTGAGCTGGGTGAAGAGGCGCACGAAGAAATCCACAAAGAGACCCACCTGTGAAGAGCAACAAAGGAGCCGTCAGCCACGCAGCTCTTCCCGGCGGCGGCGGCAGTGCGGGCGCTGCCCTCAGAGGCACGGGCCTCCCCCGCTGCGTCTGCGGCCCTGGGCACGCACAGCTGCTGGGTGAACCGGCTTCCCTTGGTCACCCCGGCTCTCTGGAGGGCCCCACTCCAGCCTGGCCCCACTGCCCACCGAAGAACAAAGGCACGAGATACAGCCATGAGAGGAGGAGAGTGAAACAACGGAGGAACAGGACGCAGCAGCAGAAGACGGGAGACGGGGGAGGACGCCTGTCTTCAGGGACGCTCAGCAGGGTGAGCACACGGCTCAGGTGACTCTGAATGACAGCGCGCACGCAGGTGTTTGTGCGTTTTGCATGGTGGTTACCGCTGCAGAACTCACAAACGCTGTGAGCTTTATTAGTACTATTACTGTTTTATATAAGTCACTATTCTGGCTTATTCCTGTCTTATATAGTCAATGGTTATCCTGGTAAATAAGAAAAAAAACACTCATGTTCCCCTATTCTACCCTCCTAAGGTCCCTACTTCAAGGAGAACTGGACAGACTTCTGATTTCGGAGATTCGGGATCAAAGGCTTGAGGCCTTTAACTCCCGACTTCCCTGAAGCCAGTGCTGGAGGCTCTTAAATGTGGAAGTCATAAGTCGTGACAAGTCCAAGGCCAAGAGAGCCAGGAGCAACAGACACCTGTTGGAGGCCGGCCTTCCTTCCCAGGACACGAGGGCGCCAGGTCAAGCTGCTAGTATTGATTAAATGGCAGTTCAGAGGAGTTTGATAGGAAAACAGAAAGAAAACGAACAAGTAGATGGCTAACAGCTATGCTTATTACAGGGAAATCTGCCATCAGAACCATACGCAGCAAAACTGACACTCTGAAATTTCAATAAAGCGGTGAAATCAGCCCAACTTGCCCCACACTGGTGTCCGTTAAAATGCTACCAGAGAGACCTCGGGAGGCCACTAGTCTTAACTAGTAAGATGCTCCGTGATCTCTGAATCTACTGCAGTGAACATCTGGCAACCGCCAGGAAACAAAAACTGTGGCCGGCCCTTGGGGCTACGTTCTACTGGACACGTGTATTCATTTCCCGGGCACGTCACACAGACTTGAGTAGGAGACTGCGGTCAGTTCTGGAGAGAGGGGATGAACACACTGCTGCTTGGGAATGCGTGTGACCCCTACTGGGGGCTGAATGCTTGTGTTCGCCCCCATCCCAAATCCCTGTTGACGTTCTGACCTCAGTAGGGCGGCAGTTGGAGGAGGGGCCTTTGGGAAGTGACAAGGTCAGGAGGGCGGAGGCCTCATGAATGGCGTTAGTGCCCTCTTAAGGAGACCCCAGGAGGGAAAGGGAATTAGGGGAGGGGAAAATAGGGGCAGGGGGTTCACTGTATGGTGACAGATGGAAACTGCACTCACAGTAACGAACACTCCGTAGTAACACAAATACTGAATTATAACGTAGTGTGCCTAACATGTAGTAGTACATACTACACCAACTTTACCAGGACTACAAAGAGAGAGACCCCCAAGAGCGCTCTTGCTCCCTCCTGCCAGGGGAGGACAGAGCGGAAAGGCGGTCATCCACGAAGCAGGAGGCAGGCCCTCACCGGACACTAATCTGCTGACCCTGAATCTTGAACTTCCAGCCTTATTGAGAAATAGACGTCTGCTGTTTAGGCTACCCAGCCGGTGCTGTTTCTGTCACAGAAGCCCGAATGGGCTAAGACAAGCCCCTGCTCAAACACCGAACTGACGGAAATCAGCTGTGACGGGTTATCACTCCAGCGGACGACTGACTTCGCCAGTTTCTCTTTCCAGGTTTAACCACAGTTAAGTCAGCAGTTCCGGCCCCAGACCTTGCGTTACTGTGGTCTCGGGTAATGTTTCACAATCTTTTGTTGTTGGTGATTCCTCTGTGAGTGTGCTGACTCCGGAACTCCGAGCATCGGGCTTCCCTTTGCCCACGGCTGCCAGCTCTACCTTCTAGAAAAAAAACCGGCAGTGTGCAGGCAAGCAGCCCAGGACAGCACAAAAAATTCCCTGAGATCGATGGGGTCCTGTTCACACCGGTGCACTGTCCTGTAGGGAAGGGCGTGATGCTCATAGTTTCGGTCTCACTGCTTTGCTTTTTCCCTACAGAGTGACCTTGACGGCCACTGCGTACTGTCCCTCCCAAGTTATCTACCTGATAAGACCATCCCTTATGTAAGGATCAGGGCCTGACCAAACCTTTGAGTGCTTTAAAGAACACCAGAGCTGTATGACTCACTTTCATTTCATAAAGGGAAAGCAAAAGAGAAGTATGAAAAACAGGTTATTAATTAAAAAAAAAAAGGAAAAAACACAAGGCAGGCCCTGTTATAACAAACAGCTTCTTCAGCAGGCCCAAGCTTGACCTCTGACCCCACCCCCCCTCAGCCCACCCTCCCTCCCATGCCCGCCGGCTCACCAGACCCGTGCAGACTCCAATGGCAAACACCACCATCCACTTCACCGCCTCGTACCTGCGACTCTTCTGTGCACACAGGAAAAGAATGACTCAGTTTGTTAGTGGGTTCTGCTGGCGGCGGGGAAGGCACACGCCCTGGCCAGCCCACTTTGGAGTGAGGTTCACTCGGGCAGCGGAGATGGCGAGGGCGGCGATGTCCCAGGCGGAGGGCGCTCTGCAGTGCCAGGACGGGGGCTCTGAAAGGCTGGGCCAGCACGTGCTCTGGCTGGCAGGGCAGGACGGGGGGCGAGGGCACCCCGTGAAGGAAGTTAAAAGGGCAAAGGGGCAGAGGCGAAGGAGCTGTCGTAAGACCCGCTCAGTCCTGAGAGATCGGTAAGAGGCCCACCTTGCTATCCACGGTCTCCAGAACTTCCAGGTAAGGGTCATTGATGCAGCGGTCATAATCCAAACTCTGAAAGAGGGCCATGCAGGGGGAAGTCACCGTACAGTGTCAGGGTCCCATTTCGAGGAAACAAAATGAAGGTCATTTGCGCGTCAGCGTACATAAAGCAAAAGCATCTGGGAACACCGGTGAGAGTGGCCACCTCTGAGGTGGTATTTTAGGAGGTGTTCACAGCTGGGTATTGTCTGGAATTTTCACATCAAGCACGGTGCATTTTTTACATTAAAAAATATTTTTTCCTGATTACACGACAAAAGGCCACAGTAAGAAATTCTGCTGGGAAACTGGATTCATCCATGAGTGATTAAATATACATATTTCAATCAAGTGAGTGACATCCCATTCTAGGGCTAGGAAAAGAAAATGTTGAAAGGCATGAATATCCCTCATACCAAATATTTATAGAAATGACTGGTTAACTAATTATCTGCTTGATGGCTTTGTCTAACAATGCTGCGAGTCCACGAACATTTGAAAGGTGTTCAGATGTCCGGAACAGGCGCATCTACAGAGACAGAAAGTAAGTTAGTGGCGGCCTGGGGTCAGCAACAAGGGGGATGGGCAGTGACCCTGCTAAGGGGACGGGGAGGCGACGGGATGATCTAAAACGGATTTGGCGATGACCACGCAACTCTGACCACACTGAACATGCCAGTGAGTTGTACCCTGCAAGGGGGTGAGTTGTGTAGTCCATGAATTACATACCAACCTAACCCTGAATACAGCTGTTCAGAGGGGCAGCTAGCAACAAATGCAACGCCAGAACACCAATCTTTTCTTCCTTTTTTAAATAAATCAGTCGAGAGCCTAACACTGTAAGTACGTCCCAGTGAACTAACTATAGGAGCTGCTGTTATAATCAGAGTTACTTCTCCTTTGCCGTGACTAACTTCCTCTTATTTCCGCTGTATACGCTGCTCTTTGGTTTGGGAGACTAATAACTTTTTAGAAAGTTTTTTTACAGGTGTCCAGTAGGGCTGCTTCCTGTGGTTATGAGCAAAACAGCACCTGGCCGTGGAGGCAGGTGGGGGCTAAGACTCAGCCCAAATTCAACCAGGCAGGCACCTAGCGCTCACCCAAAAAGCATCTTGGGTGGGCCTTGATCTGGGGATGTTGTTATGGCCCAGAGAGGTGGGCCTTTTACTCTAAGTCCTCTGCTCCGAGGGGTGCCTTTCTCTAATCCAAAAGAGCCTGTGACCTGCAAGAAAACAGTGCTGTTTGGAACCCACACCATCTAACTCCCAGAGGACAGGTAGGAAGTTCTTCTTCAACCCGCCTCTGTGAATGGACGGCAAAAAGGAGAATCTACCATCTCGTAACACCCCACCTCACCACACAAAGAGCCAAGTACGTGGGATGAACTCTTACTAAGGTGAGGAGCACATTGTAGAAAGATTTTCAGCAGAAGGGGTTTCAAGGTGAGCCTTAATAACCACCGTCAGAGCAGGCTTTTCTAAGGAAGTGCCTGGCTAAATGTGCTTTCATACAAAGCTCACACTCTCACGAAGCTCTAATACAAAACATGGCTAATTGAGAAATATTAATGACTCACAGAAAAGAACATTAACTCATAAAACTTACGTAAGTATGCATATCAACGGGAAGTAACTGCATTACAAATGTAAGTTGCAACTCAGTGAAAGGGGTGGAGGCGGCTTGGGACCAGCAGGGTCCACGGTGGGTGGGGTGGGGCGGGGCGGGGTGTGGGAGCCCCCAGGCACAGGAAGAGGAAGAGGAAGAGCGCTGGGATGGCGTCAGTCCTGGGAACAGACAGGATGATATCACCAGGTTTACTGAGATGATAATACAGTATTCAGCATCTTATCCTTATCCCTGCAAACCTCTCAACTATGTACAGCAAATGAGTATTTTAAAAGTGTAAGAAAATACATCCGTGGACACCAGGCTTTCTGACTCACTAAAAGAAGTCCCATTGGAGTGGCACATTAAACCACACCACGGTGGGGCAGGCAAATTCCAGAATCCTGATTATTTTGTCAAGTACATTTCAAGGGGGAAAAAAAAAAGATGGAGGAACCTGAAGACAGAAGAGATTTAAGATACAAATCAAATACATGCGATGTGAAGACCTTATTTGGGACCCGATTCAAACAAACTATTGAAAAATACACGTGACATTTGTAAGACAACTGGAAAACTGGACATTTGATATCAAGGAATTATCGTTAGTTTCATAGATGTGAAAATGGGTATGGTGTTATGCCAAAAAAACAAACAAACCAGCCCTTACTCTCTAGAGATGTATGTTGGATTATTTATGGATGCAATGATGTCACGTATAGAATTTCCCTCAAAATAAGATGGGAGGGGGATGAGGAAAGAGTGAAGGAACCACATGGCGTGAGCACAGCTGAGCTAACAAAATTACTTCAGTCAGCATGGGCTGAAACGGGAGAAATCGATTTTATTTCACTTTACTGAGCCCGAAAACTTAAAACTCTTGAAACTTTCAGTTTGTACATCAGTGCCTGAAGATTCTGCACATACACTCTCAAGAAGCCTCTGAAGGTTTTAGGAAAGAATGCCCAAGGATCCAGGTTGCTGACACCTGAGAGATCACCGTCTCAGACCAACCCAGAGGTTAAGAACGCAGGATGGCCCTGCCTGGCATGGCTCCGTGGACTGAATGCCGGCCTGCGAACCAAAAGGTCACCCGCTTGACTCCCAGTCAGGGCACGTGCCTGGGCTGCAGTAGAGGGCCCGCAAGAGGCAGCTGAGCCATGTTTCTTTCCCTTCCTCCCTCCCTCTCTAAAATAAATAAATAAAATCTTAAAAAAAAAAAAGAATGCAGGACTGATTTTTCTCAAGAATGTACTTTTTACTTGTAAAAACTCTCAACTTTTCTATTTTCTTCAGAACACTGTCTTAAGACCCTCGAATAAAACTCTTGTCATTCAATTTTTTTAATGTAAATTTTTTAAAGATTTTTTATTTATTCACTTTTAGAGAGGGAAGGGAGGGGGGGAGAGAGAGAGAGGGAGAGAAACATCAATGTGCGGTTGCTGGGGGTTATGGCCTGCAACCCAAGCATGTACCCTGGCTGGGAATCGAACCTGCGACACTTTGGTTCGCAGCCCGTGCTCAATCCACTGAGCTATGCCAGCCAGGTCTTGTCATTCAATTCTGATGAAGCCTCCCGATCCACCCACCGTCAGCAGACCCGGAAGTGGATGGGAGCAGAGGGGAAACAAGGTCAAGCCCAGTGGCGTGATGAGTACGGGGTTCCGATACACTCTTCTGTCCATTTTGGTATATGTTTAAAATTGTAAAAAGTTTTTTTTTCCTTTCTTTCTTTGTCTTTTTTTTTTTTTAAGCAGGAGTGGAGATGCTATGTGTGGGCAATATAGTCTCATGCCCTCTGCTTACATGCCTCCAAGGTGCTCGGTACCACTTGAAACAGCGTGTGGTTGCCTTGGATGGAGAGAAAAGGCAGGGTGTCGCCCAGCCCCTCCATGCAAGCCCTTCCCCTGGCTGGGGATGCCCTTCTAGGACTGTCCTCAGTGAAGCACTGCCTCCAGGCTCTCAGTGTGGTTCCTGGACCAGCAGCAGCAGCTGCAGCACCTCCTGGGAACTAGTTAGGAGTGCGAACGCAGTCCCACCACAGGCCCGCTGAACAGAAGCTCTGTGTCTTATAACAAGGCCTCCCTTGGACTGTGATACGTGATCAAGTTGGAGGACCATGGGAGCGGAGGACTGGATGAGAAAACTGACCTGAGATCCCAAAACCATTGCTTTGAGTTTGTCTCCTCCATGGGTGGAGTGAAGCTGGGAATTGTATTTGGGGTCAGGGTACGGGAGGGGAGAGGTGGCTGATGTTCTGTGGGCTGTGTGCTAGCTAACACAGAAGTGAGGGCTTTTGCCCTGGCTGACATAGCTCAGTGGATTGAGCGCAGGCTATGAACCAAAGTGTTGCAGGTTCGATTCCCAGTCAGGGTACATGCCTGGATTGCATGCCACGGCCCCCAGCAACCGCACATCGATGTTTCTGTTTCTGTTTCTGTTTCTCTCTCTCTCTCTCTCTCTCTCTCTCTCTCTCTCTCTCTCTCTCTCCCTTCCCTCTCTAAAAATAAATAAATAAAATCTCTAAAAAAAAAAGAAGTGAGGGCTTTCATTTTTTTAAAAGATTTTATTTATTTATGTTTAGAGAGATGAGGAGGGAGAAAGAAAGGGAGAGAAACTTCAAAGTGCAAGAGATACATCAACCGGTTGCCTCTCCCATGCCCCCAACTGGGGACCTGGCCTGCAACCCAGACATGTGCTCTGACTGGGAATCGAACCAGCAACGCTTTGGTTCACAGGCCGGCACTCAATCCACTGAGCCACACCAGCCAGGGCTGTGATAAAAGATTTTAAAAATGTTCATGCTACATGACAAATCATAATAGTTATACCAAATTCTGCAATAAAAGATGAACTATTAAGAAAATCAGTCTTAATATATTATTGCCCTAGAGTATTGAATTTTTAAAGTCTACACGACATTTTTAAGAAAGTATTAAACATATTCGTGATCATTTCACTTCTTGGAATTAATCCTAAGGAAGCAATTAAGGATGAACAAGAAAGGATGGTCACCACCATGTAGTTCATCAAAGAGAAAAGTCAAATTAAATAAATTGTGGCACAATAAAATAATATTCCCCTATTTAAAAAGATAGTGTAGAGAAGTCCCTAGTGATACAAAAATTGCTATCAAGTGGGGAGAAAAAGAGGTTAAAATATTCAGTAGAATCTCACTTCTGTTACGCAGAAGGAAGCATGTATGTCTGTGAACCAAAGGGTTGCTGGTTCGATTTCCAGTCAGAACACATACCTGGGTTGTGGGCCAGGTCCACTCAAGAGGCAACCACACAATGATGTTTGTCTCCTCTTTCTACATTCCTCTCTCTCTATAACTAAATAAAATCTTTTTTTTGCAAAGCATGTATAAAAAAGAATATTTAATAAGGTAGTAATAATCATCTTTCAATGAGCAGGATTATGGGTTTTCCTCTAGCTCCTTTTCATAAATAGTTTCCATCACAATGATGGCTTTTTTGTGTTTTCAGAAGTCATTACAAACTGATTACCTTATGGCTCACCCCAGCAGTACTAAACACACACACACACACACACACACACACACACACACAATCTACAAGTCCCACATGGAAATCAGAAGCCACAGTCAAGAACGCTTCAGAGAGAAGCTGCTCAAGCAGCAAACAATCTTCTGAACACTAAGTTCTCCCAGAAGAGAAGCAAGGTCTACCGGCCCACGCCTGCTATGAGCATACACTGTCAGTGGCTTTGACTCTGGGTCTCTGAGCTGTAAAAGCAAGCAGTTTAATGGCAAACTCATACTCTATCCAGGTTAAGGCTCTAACAGACCCATGGAAGCGTGGAGACACCCAGACCTTGTTTTGCAGTTGAGGTGAGAGAAGGGCTTGTTAAACAGCCCCTTCCCCAGAGGGAAATTACCCCCTACCCACTTACTCCCTGGGACAGAGGGTCAAACAGCACCTCTAGTTGGAAACCTCATGCTTCAGTCTTAAGGGACCAGGTCATTCACCGCTTTTGTTACTCAAGACAGCATCTGAGAATCTCACCTCATAGTCTTTCCTTGGAAGGATCTCATCCTCCTCCTCCTGGGTTTCTCCAAGGATGGTCTAGAAAAACAGATCCATGGAAGGAAGACCCTTTTAATGGTTACACGTGAAAGGGGGCAGGAGTGTGTCTACTGAAATCAGTTGCTAGTTTCTAAATCATCTGGAGCCATTATCACCACAAAACAAGACCTCACAAACAAAACAAACTTTTGGGATGGGGGGCGATTTGGGTGGGGATCCAGCTGAGCTCTTCATTTCTATTACTACGTTCTCTAAATAACCAGTGTTGTCTTGTCTTCAGAACACGTGAAAGAGGTCCACTGTCGGCTTACGGGGACGGGGCCGGGGGCGGGGGGGGGGATCAGATTCCATCTGATAATGTGCCGAATCTGAAAGTGGAAGGGACCTGTCAAATCTGAGGACACAGCAACTCCGGTTTTCCCAGGGTGCTTTGCAGGGAAAAGCTGGATTGTTAATGACCCAGAAAGGGTTAGGGATACAGGGAGAAAGGACTGGAGAAATTAAGCCAGCTGCATGATAAACACAAGGTCCAGTGAAAGGGCTTCTGCCGAAAAGACTTCTTTCATTCAAAACTCCTTTCAGATGGAAATAAGGGAAAATATGTATAGGATTAATTAGAGCTAGTCTGGATTCTCTCTTCCACTCCAGGGATGAGTTATGAGAAAAAGACTACAGACTCGGGCACGGGAATCAGGGCAGATTCTGAGAGAGCCCAGGATGCGGTCCCCACCTGCTGGCTCAGCTCGACCCAGCCCCACCTCTGGCAACGCCTCTCACCGTCCCTTAGCAACCGCCCCTTCTCCAGCCCGGCTCCACCAGCATCTTACCAGCTCCTCCGGGGTACGGGTCTCACGCTCACCGCAGCAGCAGCACCACCTGCAGCAACAGCACAAGGACCCCCTGCACCCCGCCATCTTCCTCGTTTACTGCCACTCTGGACCCTTATGCCAACCCCCCCACCCGAGATCTGCGCCTCACGTGACTGGGCCCCGGAGTGTCACGTGGCCCTCTCGAGCTTGGGGACCAGACGTGGAATGGCTGCAGACGGGTGGGACGAGGGCCCGCGTCACATGACGGGCGGTGGAACTGCCACAAACGAGAACGCTGGGCGCGGCCATGTTAGGGGCGGAGCTTCCGGTCGCCCGTGAGGGTGGTTTCGGCCCTCTGGCCCCGCCTCCCTTAGCAACAGACTCCAGGGCCACGCGACTCCTGCGCCACGCCCCTCCTCCCGGCCTTCCGCCCCCTCCGCAAGCGCCTCCGCAGCGGCCGGGCATCTGGGACTGGCGCGCGTGTTCTGAGACACCCGCGACAGCAGGGTGAGTGACGGTGTGGCCTGGGCTTGTCGGGTAGAGAGACCTGGCATCCGGGGACCACCACCTGGGACGGGGACTTATTCGTGCGCACAGAGCGATGGGGGCCGGGCTGCACTCTGTAGATGGGGGCTCCGGCCCGAGGATGAGGCGGCCTTGAGAAAAAGATGGTGACCCAGCACCCCCAGGACCCGCGTCCCCGCTCCCCTCCCATGACCCAATGACCTGGCGACCCTATTCGCGCCCCTCGAGCCACCTGGGCGCTGGAGGCGTTTTTCCGGCTCCAGCTCTTTAAACCTGCCCGTTCGCCGAGCATCTGGAGAAGAGCCTTGGGCCGCTGGCACTGCCGCCTCTGATGCCCACTGCGTCGGGCGCGCACAGTTGTGGGTTTCATATGCCCCCAGTGGCACCGATTAAGTGAGCTCTCGGTAAATGACAGACGGTTATTTTGAGATCGGAGTGACAGCGCCGGGCCGGCTGGCGCGCATTGCTGGCAGTCCCATTTCATTGTGGCAGTCACTGGAATAGCAAGATGCCTGTCAAAGGCAGGAAGCCGCCCTGGTCTTGGAGCTCTGAGACAAACCTGCGAACCCACAATCACAGCCCAGAGTGCTGTGCGAGTCCAGCTCCAGATGGATAAGTAATGGCATGAGAAAGCAGGGGGAGAGAGGGCGTGTGCCTGGCGCGTCCTGGGAAGGCAGTAAGTCTTTATTGAACGAATGAAAGAGCAGATAATTTGTTGCTGGGTCCATCTCCCCGCCCCACCCCCACCCCCTCACTCTTAATTTTGTTTCAGCAGACAGGCAGTGGGCACTCTTGAATTCTTGGGAAGGGCCAGGGAGTCTGATCTTGACATTCCCCCTTTTTGGCTCCCAACGGTCACCCTCACTGAGAAGCTGGAGTTTTATGTCAGAATCAAAAGGGGGGTCCCCAGGGAGAGAAAATGCTGGCACAAGTGTTCTGAGTCTGGTCTTGGCTTATGGACTTTGGATGTGTCGCTATGTGTTAGGCACACTTGTGTGTGTTATGCGCACTTGTGTGTGTTTCAGAGGAGCATTGGATTTCGTCCGCTTCGCAAGGCTCTAGGACCCCAAAGGGGTTAAAAACACCAGCTTGGCAGTGGAAGTTCCTCGAAAGGAATGAACTTGGCCCGATTATCCCTCTGATCTCCGTGTTACCACTCCCCACGCTTCCAGGACTGCGTGTTTGCACGTAGCCAGGCATGAGTAGCGCTTTGTTTCGTTTTTAAGTATTGGTCTTACTTGTCCCACTGAACTGCCCACTGGCACTGTGCCCGCCCTCTGTCGGCCGGCCTGTGGTTGGCACCGCCCAGGGCTTCGGATGCTGTGGCCGTGCCGTCACCGTCCTTACTTTGACTGACTTCAGTGGTGTGTGTAAGTGGTGGTGTGCCTGGAAGGCAGCCTGTGTTCCGAGTTGGACACAAATTCATGGCCTTCCTGAACTGGGTCGGGCTACTTTTAGAACCCAGCCCATGTCAAGTTCCAACGCGTGACCTGGTCCTTTTGGAGTAGCGTGAGCTTGGGAGAAATCTGGCTGACTTGTCGAGCCCTCACTCCGTCCATCCTGCACACAAACTGTTCCGGGGAACTGGAGATGTTCCCCGCACAACCACGCCCTTCCATGCCTTCTTTGGAGAGAGAACTGGTGACCCTGAACGTCTGTAGGCCTCCTCCCACCAGCCCCTGCCGTCTCCGGCCTGAGTTCCCCTCCTTCCATCTGCCTGCGGCAGCTAGCGCCTCAGCCCTCCCTCTTGCTGGGAAGCCTTGCCCCCACCTCTCGCCCCGCCCCTGACGTGGGCCCCAGCTCCAGCTGTAAGCCCTTCCTCAGTCACTGCTCCGCCCCTGAGTGCTGGGGAAGTTTCCTCTTTCTTCCTAGCCCAGTCTGGGTCCAAGCTGGCCAGGATGGACCTTCTAAATCCGGAGGTCCTCCCAGCCGGGCATTGCTGGCCCTCCCTAGGAATGCGGGCCTTGGAAGCTGGCATTGTGAGCCTGTCAGTGCCCCCCTCCATCAGGTAGCTGTCACTGAGGATCCTTGGGCTGACGGTGCATATTTCCGTACGGGCGGGGGCTGTCATACAGGGAACCAGGCTACAGAGGAAGGAAAAGCTTGGAGCTATGGTGTGTGGAGCCAGCCGGTAGGGGCATCGGCACGCTCCCCCTCGGCAGCCTTAATCCTGCGTGGAAATGCAGCACCTCTCGCCTGACCCTGCCATTCGGGGGTTAGGCTGCCTGCCGGCTCCTGACACCCTCTGCCCCCATCCCGTGCAGCAGGGATTCGGCCATGGTGAACGAACCCAGAGGGAACAGCGGCCCCGGCGCCCCCGGCGCCCACTGGGAGGGCAGCAGCTGTGGCATCGAGAGCTCCAAGGATAGTCTGAGAGGTTCCTCGCCAGGGCTGGACCCCGAGCGGCGGGAGAGACTCCGGGAGAAAATGAAGCGGAAGATGGAATCTGGCGACAAGTGGTTCTCCCTAGAATTCTTCCCTCCGCGGATGGCTCAGGGAGCTGTCAACCTCATCGCAATGTGAGTGGCTTTAAGGTTCGGGAGTGGGGCTGGACTAGAAGGGGGGGTGGGGGAGAAAGTGCACGCAGGGCCACTGTGACCCGGCAGGAAAGGCAGCCAGAGGGGACAGGAAAGGGTAGTAAATGCAGGCTCAGTCACTCGATCTGTAGCTTCTCGCTTGGCAGCAGAAGTCCCCCCCAAGTAGAAGCAAGCATCTGGATTTTTAAACATACTCTTCAGTGGGTTCGAAATTGATTTCTCGGCATCCAAGCTGGATCATGAGTACCGTGTAGGAAGTCACAAAGCAGCAGCTCGGAGGACATTTTCACCAAGTTAGGAATTTGGATTACGCGTCTTGAAATCTAGAAATGCCAACTGAATTACATTAACACTTTATGAATTGCAGTTCTTTTAGAGTTGATGCTTTTTTTTTTTTTTTTACCACTCGTGCATCTCATGTTTCACTCCCGGGGCTTGGAGTTGAAGGCACGGGACATTTAAATGCACCATAGAACGGGCTGTGACACAGCACGCGTGCACAGCCGTGCCACTGGAGCCTAGTTCCGCACCGGGGCCGCGCTCCGCAGTGCTGGCGGCTGCAGCACTGGGACTGGGGAGGAGGGGCCGCGGTGGAAACTTGTGTCTGCTGCTCCTCTTTTTTCCTGCTCCTAGAAGGAGGCTCTGCTTGCCACACCGAGGGTTCGCCAACCCTTGGCCATTGAACTTTACTCAACCAAGATAGAAACAGGCAAGCACTTGGAAAAGTCTACAGTACTACTTTCAGGCAAAACGGTCACATTGTTGTTGTATATTATCTCCACAATCATAGTAACACAATAATAGCAGTTCAGCTGTAAGAGCAGAGAACTGTTCTAAGAGCTGTGGGGCCATCTGTCGGACTCTCCTCTGTTGCGTTGTAGAAATGAGGAAACTGAGGCTCAGAGAGGTTAAGTAATTTCCCCAAGGTCACACAGCGAGTAAGTAGCAGAGCCAGGATAGGAATGCACGGTGGTCTGATGCCACCTGCTGTGAGGCTTCTCTAACTTCCGGACCCCATGGGAAGGTGGTGATGGGTGGGGTGCCCCCAGGAACCTCTCTTCAGAGAGAAATTCCCTACAGGTTTGACCAGATGGGGGCAGGCGGGCCCCTGTTCATAGATGTGACCTGGCGCCCCACCCAAGACCCTGGCTCAGACAAGGAGACCTCCTCCATGACGATCGCCAGCACCGCCGTGAACTACTGCGGCCTGGAGACCATGCTGCACATGACCTGCCTCTGCCAGAGCCGGGAGGCCATCACGGGCCACCTGCGCAAGGCCAGGCGGCTGGGCCTGAAGAACGTCTTGGCGCTGAGAGGAGGTGTACAGCTAGCGCTACTCTCTGGGGTCTTGCTTTCCTCTTGCATTCCTCTTCTGTCCCCAAAATGGCCCTTCGCTTTTCTCCGGGTCCCACGCTGAGCATGCTTAAGGTCCCATCCCCGCTGGTAGCATCCATAGGCGCGGCCCAGATGGAGTCACCTCTTGACCTCTTGACCCCCACGTTCAGTCGGGAATGCAGCGGGGGCCTGACAACACGCTGCCCTGGTGGCGCGGCCGCCTCCACCGCCGGCTGCTCCCAGCCCTCGGCCCCGTGAAGACGGCACTTCTGGCACTTGTCCCAGAAGTGCAGACGGCTGCCTGTGCCCGGGGCCACGAGAGTGGGCAGAGGGAGCCTGCGGGGTGGGCGTTGTGGCCTCGTGTTCCCGGCCACAAGACCGTTTCTCCCTCAAGATAAGCAGAAGATTCTCCCAGGAGGCAGGAGCTCCAGGACGGTGGGAGGGTGCACAGTGGGGTCGGGCAACGGTGCCTGAACGCAGCCAGGTTTGTGTGGGGGGGCGGGGGCGCAGATGCTCCAGGCTAAACTAAGCATACCAGCTGTCCCCTGCTGTCCCCTGCTGACCGCTGCCAGCCCAGCGCCTGGCTCGGTAAACGCCTGGCAGGCTGGGCACCGCCTTCCCCGCCACGGTTTACCAAGTGCTGTGCTAGAAAGAGGAGCCGCCAGCTTGAATACCACGAGGCTCTGCCGTTGAGGAGCTCACGGACCCGGGTGTAGGGGTGGGAGAAGGAACAGAGCGGCTGAGCCCCAGTGACCGTGACCTTCACCCCCCCAGACCCCCCAGGTGAGCAGTGGGAGGAGGAGGAAGGAGAGTTCTCCCATGCCACAGACTTGGTGAAGCACATCCGCAGGGAGTTTGGTGACTACTTTGACATCTGTGTGGCAG